CAGTACTTGCCTCATACCAGTCAATTTCAGGGGTTCCTCTGCACAGGCCGGTCCACTTGAGACTTCCTACTTCCAGGAGGTCCTTACAGAAAAGGGGGCCAAGGAGGGTAAAGCTGCTGCCTAGCCTTAAAATTCATATATTGAACCCCTAGCCCCCAATGGGGTTGTATTTGGAGATCGAGCTTTTAGGAGGTAAAGGTTAATGAACTAATAGGACTGGTAGTTGTATAGAAAGAGAGCAATTTTTCTCTCCCTTCCCATGTGCATGCACCAAAAAAGGCCCCGTGAAGACAATGCAAGGAAAGAGCCACCAGTAAACCAGGAAGAAAGATCTCACCAGGAACTGAATTGGCCATCACCTTGATCTTGAACTTCCACCCTCCAGAAGGATGAGAAAGAAATGTCTCTAGTTTAGCCACTAATCTGTGTGATTTTGTTAGGGCGGCCTGAGCAGACCTACGCACCACAGTTGTGCACAAAGCACACAGGGATCATAACAGAACGTAAATTGCTGGGCGCCAGAAGAATTTGGAGACCTTAGTGGTATTGACACTGTGGGTCCCCAGACCCCACTTTGAGTAGCACTGACATACACAACCAGGTGAGGGAGCCATCGGGATTAAGAGTCAACCCAAGCAGTGAACGCTAGCCATTTCCATGGGCTCTACCTGAACAAAGGTCTTCATCTTCATTCCCGTCCCATGAGACATTAATCTCCTACGATAGTTAATTTTAGGTGTCAATTTGACTCATATTAAACATTGCCCAGATTAAACATTATTTCTGGGTGTGTCTGTGAGGGTGTTTCTGATTGAGATGAGCTTTGAATCAGTGAACTCAGGAGAGTAGCTCACCCTCCCCAAGTGGGGGGACATCAGTCAATCCACTGAGGGCCTGACCAGCACAGAAAGGAGGGGGAAGGAGAAACTTGCCCCCTGGGCTCCTCAGACTAGGGATTTTCGCCGTAGCATCTTCGCCGTAGACATGTTTACCGTGAGCATTTTGCTGCAAACATTTTCTCTGTGTAACTAATTGGCTGTGAGGCAATTTTGCTGTAAAAAAAGGTAAAATAACTGGTTGACAAAAAATAAAATGCACACCTGCTTTTTTGTTTGCTTGGTTTCATTTCTCCATTGACAAACCAAGCAACCACTGGAGAAAAGATAAAATAACTGGTTTCCTGGGTTTTATTTCTCCATTGACGAGTTTTATTTCTGGGTGACTGAAGGTATTTAAGTTCGCCGTTAGTTTGGTTCCATTTCTCCATTGACAAAGTTCCCATAGTTGCTCCATCTTTATGTCACATATAGATCTCAGCCAGCCCTCATAATGGTCTATACAGTGCTGAGTGGACATGGGGGTGATGGTGGACTTAAAATAGTTGGCATTTCTTCCAGATGACGATGATTTACCCCAAGAGTTGGTTTCTTTTTTTAAAAAATTGTTTTATTGCTTAAAGCAGGGGTCCTCAAACTTTTTAAACAGGGGGCCAGTTCACTGTCCCTCAGACCGTTGGAGGGCCGGACTATAGTTTAAAAAAAAACTATGAACAAATTCCTATGCACACTGCACATATCTTATTTTGAAGTAAAAAAACAAAACGGGAACAAATACAATATTTGTATTTGCATGTGGCCCGCGGGCCGTAGTTTGAGGACCCCTGGCTTAAAGTATTACAAAGAGTACTACATATGTCTCCTTTTCCCCCCCGCCCTTGACAATCCCCTGGCCTCCCCTACCCCCCAGTGTCTTATGTCCATTGGTTATGCTTATATGCATGCATACAAGTCCTTCGGTTGATCTCTTAGCCCCCCCCTCCCGCCCCCCAACCCTCCCCGGCCAAGAGTTGGTTTCTTATTTCGAAACAAACTACAGTGGAGGAGCAAGCGAGGTGGAGGCCTGTCTTAGAGAGCACAGAGTTGCACCCCATTTTCTACCAAACAAAGACCAGTGCGAAGGTACGGTCCACAGCATAAAGCCCGCTATTTACCCAGTACTGCCCTGAATCTGCATGCGTTTTAAACGTATTCAAATAGTTGGTATTTTGCAAAAAAAAACTTTAATTTTGTTATGTCCTTTTTAATGTCCCTTTTTAAATTTTTTCTGATTTTATCTCTTTTACAGCACAACGGGCTTATGGCCCCCATAGTTACGTGGCAAAAATATCGGTGACAATGATGTCCACAGCACAGACACTTATGATGAAAATATTGAACATTATCTCTACCTCCGCCTCCGCCTCTGCCTCCGCCTCTACCTCTACCTCTATCTCTATTTATCTCCATCTCTACCCCTACCTCTATCTCTATCTCTATACCCATCTCCTATTAGTTCTATTTTGCTGGCGAACACAAATACAGCTCCCTCAGCATGAAATACAGTCCATGCGGGTGATCACCTTCCTAATGACCCTTCGGTCATGAACATTCAGCATCGCTGTAACTCCTCTGTCCTGGTAAGAATGAGAGGGCAGGGCAGGCTCAGGGCCTGGCCTCAGCCTGGACAGAGCATGCCCCCGCAGCTGGGACCTGCTCTCTTTCTTCTCCTGCTGGCCAGTCTCTGTCAGTGCCGTTTTAAAATGTATAATGGCTTTAGAATTCCACACTCACGGTAGACATACGTGACGGATGGCCTGCTAATGTCATGCAAAATGCAGCATTGACATTTCCTGGGGAAGAACCAACCCGGAGTTTCTGAATCCCCAGACAGCCTGGCTGCGGCCTCCTTTCATCTCCGTGGCTAATCAGTGGAAGGGCAGCCCTCCACTAAGACAGTGCTGAGTGCCAGCGAGGGCTGCTGACGGCCCCTGTGCTGCCCTGGGTCGGCTGCCGTCCCGCCCTCCTGCTAATGAGAACATTGGAGAGATTCCTGACCTGCTCTGTCCCTTCAGGCTGCCGGAGGTCAGTAAGGGCTGCCTCGATGAAGGGCTATGCTGACACGTCCAAGCCCTGACTGGGAAAGGAGTGAGGGATGGGCTGGGGCATGTGTTACCGGCCCAGAGTCACCCAAGCCCTCCCCTTCCTGGCACGCTTCCGGGGACTGCGGAGACTAAATAAGTCACACGTATTCCCTGGATGGAGCCAGTGTCTGACTCTGATGTTATAGAGAAAATACCTGGTCTTTGTCCTGGGGTCTTGGCAGAGAGCTTCAAAAATCCTTGGAAATTTCTGAGTGATAAGAATGTGTTTTGTTGCCTGGAGGTGTGGCTCAGTGGTTGAGTATGGACCTATGAACTATGAACCAGGAGGTCATAGTTCGATTCCCGATCAGGGCACATACTCACGCTGGTGTGGCTCAGTGGTTGAGCATCAGCCTATGAATCAGAAGGTCATGGTTCAATTCCTGGTCAGGGCATATGCCCAGGGTGTGGGATGATCTCCAGTAGGGGGTGTGCAGGAGGCAGCTGATCAATGTTTCTCTCTCATCCATATTCTATTTCTCTCTCCCTCTCCTTCCTCTCTCTAAAGTCAATAAAAATATATTTTAAGAAAATAATAAAATCTATTCTAGAACTATCACAGGAAATCTCTTCTTACACTCACCACCTGGCATTCAAACCTGTAGGCTCTTCTCTTCTCTTCCAAACACAAGCTCTTTCATTTATGAGGGTAAAGTTCATGGTTGAGTGCATTTACATCTTGTATATTACTTTGTATCTATTAGAATATATACATATATATATATATATATATATATATGATAGAAAAATATTCTGTACATTTAAAATATATCAAAGCAGTCGCAAAATATATGCCTTTTGTTAGGAAAAGATCGATCAACATTGGCCCTCAGCTTTTGGGCTTTCTTAATAATTTCATCAATTTATTATTTTTTAAATTTCCATTTCAACTTTGAATTTAAGTGACATAACAATGTTTTAAGATTCTTGCAAGTAAGTTCCTCCACAGTGTAAAACTTAGAAGTCAAAACTGTGCATTGATATGTGCAAAACATATTTTGAAGCAAACCTATTTCAGAACTGTTTTTCCATGACATAAAAGTATAGCAAATAGACAAGTCAATATTTTCATTGTTCTGTAGGAAATCACAGACTACCTAGATAGAATAAATTATTAATGAAATGGGAAGAATATTAATCTCTGTGTAGCCAGCCTTTAAATAACACACACACACACACACACACACGTACACACACACACCCCCCACTGAAATTTACTTTTAAATTCCAGGCCCCTAATAAATGACATGGCAGAGGTCCTTTCTAACCTATCAATAGCACAACCAAAGTAAAGAAGAGAAAGCTGGTCAAAGCCTGCAGTTGGCAAGGAGTCCCAGTTGGTCCAGTAGAAGATTAAACCCCTGGAGAAAGGCAGAAGTCATTCACAGCAAACCCGACGCACAACCACCTGCTACCAAGCAGCGCTCGGTGATCGTCGGTCCACTTTATGTTCTTCGGTTTAGTTACCGAAATATGGAAATCATTTGGTTACAGGGGCCCCTTTCTATAAAGTGGGTCAGCACCGTGGACCCTGAGCCACGCTACACGCTTCCGTCGTACAGCTGTGTGTTACTTGGTAATGAGTTTCTGGTTGCCTGATTTCATAAGGATCTTAAAAAGGAAATGGATGGATAAGCGAGCTTGTAAATGATAAAATGCATGAAAACGGACATCTGAAATGAACACACCTGAGAACACAACCGGGCATGTCCCCAATAAAACCAACAGGATAGAAATGCGGGTGCTAAAGGCAGAGACCCACTCTTGCTGGGCTGCCCAGCGCCTGTACCCCTGGCCATGGGGACTGAAGGGAGAGGAGCAGGTGGCTCTGTGCCCCAGATGCCAGGGGACACGAGCATGCTCTCAACAGTTGGCCGGATTTCCCCCTCCCCTTTAATTGTGTTTCTCGGACAGCAAAGCATCAACACAGTTCTAGCAGACCAACATTTTGTTTTGTTTTTAGCCAAATGTGTATGGACACAATGGGCAGTGTCAGCCCCCAAAGACCTGTGTGGGTAAAACAAAGCATCTTCGTCCTTACTTTTCACCGTGAGGTACATGGACTTGCTGACGTCCGCGCCCACGTCGTTGCTGACCTTGCACAGGTAGTAGCCGCTGTCTTCCTCCACCACGTGCTTGATCAGCAGCGACCCGTTGCCCAGCACCTGAATCCGGCCGTTCAGGGCGATGGGTTGGAACTGGGGGACCCCAGCCCCTGGAATGAAATAAAAAGGAGGAACAGTGATGCGCGCGCGAAGACACGTGGGGAGGCAACGAGCCCATGTTCACCCAGAGTAATGGAGAGAAGTGATTGACATTTAACATACAGCCTACATGACAGTCACGGGATACACCATGTGTTTTGTTTTTTTCCTCCCTCCAACATTGAAATTCTTGTCTGGAGAGAAATACATTTATTTAAAATGACAGCATTTCAAACTCTGAGATCAAGAGTAAGAAGCCTTACAGACAGTGTCTACATAAAAAGACAAATTTAATGAGCATTAAGTACCTGATAAATTATTCAGACATCTCAGTAGAATGACTACAGAAGTAGCTGCCTCTCATTGCACCCTGTGTTCCCAAGGACTTCATAGATAAGTATGTAAACGTAAGCACTCTAGGGATATGGGATCTGAGGACCTTGCTCCTACACACAGCTTAGTCTACAAAGACAATACAAGTATTGCAGATTTCTCTTCTGAGTTCCAGTCTAGAAACACATTAATGTCGTTTGATGCTATTTAAATAAATAAGTCAGATCATCGCAGTGAAGCACCCCTCTCCTCAGAGGGCCCGCACTGAAGGAGGCAATGACACAGCAACGACATAATGTGACTGAGAGAGCCACATAAAGCTGTTCTGAACAACATGTTTTAGAAATAACATAACAGAAGATGAATGTCTTGAGTGATTGTTGGGGAAGTGGCAGTTTGGATTGGCTTGCTATGTTGCTCGCCCCTCTCCTGGGACATGGGCGGGACTAGGAGGGCGTGAGGGCTTCTCTCGTCTCTGACCTTAGGCTGACGTACTTGCCCTCTAGTGAACATTCCATCCATATTCCTTGTTCATGAGTCTGTTAGACTTTTGTCTCTTTCTTCTTCATTTGCCAAAGCACTTAGGGTCTTAAAAATGTTTCTATATGTCTATTTTATAAAAAACATGTCTATTTTTGTTCTTGCTGTTTTAATCGGGATTGAATGTTGAAGATCACTGGATATCTTTATGTCATCTATTAAGATGATCATTATTTTTCTCCTACAAAAATTAATTGTGCATTTTAAGGATTTGGTTTTATAAATTATAAAATTCCTTCTTATGGATGAGAGGTACTTTGAAGCTTTAAAAACAGGAGAGAAGCTTGTAAGTTTTAAGTGTCTAAACTGGGTCCACAGTTTGAAAGTCTCGATGCCTGTCTCTAAGTTCACAGCAAATCGGGAGTCTGATCTTGTTTAAAAGACACAACCTGAAAATTCAGACAAATGCAGGATTTAAATGATATATCAATCAAGCAGCAAACCAGGAAGTATCCAAATGCTATGGGATTTATGTAAAACCCTAAATTACAAAAACCCTGCAAATCTAATGAAATGCTGATAGAATATGAGAAAGTTACAGGACTGTTCATGTCAAAAATACATGTTTTCCTTTCCTCAAAGAATTTTTACCAGAAAAACATTTGTACTATTTGACGCATTTATACGAAAGAATTACAATATGAAATTTAACATTAAGCCATCTCAAACAGATAAAAAGTCTTATCTGTTCATACCTATCTGGAGAGAGAGACTGCCTCCTTAGGAAAAGGTACGAATGAAGACAGAAATAAAGTATAAATGCATTTGAAAAACAACTCCCCTCCCTTTTTTTTTCACAGAAAGGGAACCTAACATGCAGGGTGACACCATTTATAAATCTGATCATGCTTTTTACTAAACAGAATAAGAGGGACCCATTCCTCTGCCATCAGGATGACAGTCCCAAGGTTAGTACTTTATTTTCTGAGGGTCATGAACTTCCTCATAATTTGATAAAATTATCTGTCATCGACTTTAAATTCATCATTTATTATAAAGAGCAAAATTTACCAGAGTTCATACAATATTCAACATTCTGTAATCTGGTTAGCATAAGTAAACACTTTGGGTAATTAGCCAGAAGATACACTCTAGGAACCAGAAGTCATTAATTAGGAAGCGGTCCGTTTTCTGTGGACAGCTGGGGTCAAGTGGGGACAATGTGGATGGATGCTCTATGACATGAAAAGATAATGTTAAAGCATTATGTAAGGCACATACCCAATTACTCGCTACGCTAACACTCTGCGACCTTCCTTATTTTTTGAAAAGATATGCCTAGCAGTGTTCGCAAGGACTGAGGGAGTGGGAAGAGCAGGAAAAGAATAGCTCAGTGTCACCAAGGGGGCCCCCTTGGAAGGCAGCAGCAAACATTGGTTCGTCTTGTCTTCCATTCTTGTCTTTGCTGGCCTGTAGTCTACTTTCTCTGCAGCCTTAAGTCCATCATCTATGAAATGGGAAGAATAATCCATTTCCAAACTATATAGATTATTATAAAGCAGGGGTCCTCAAACTTTTTAAATAGGGGCCCAGTTCACTGTCCCTCAGACCGTTGGAGGGCCAGACTATAGTTTTAAAAAAAAACTATGAACAAATTTCTATGCACACTGCACATATCTTATTTTGAAGTAAAAAAACAAAACGGGAACAAATAAAGTATTTGTATTTGCATGTGGCCCGCGGGCTGTAGTTTGAGGACCCCTGTTATAAGGCAACAGAACAGATGATCAGAAATCCATGGGAGCTATCTATGACAGTTTTGAAAAGGAAAAATGAACAGAGTATAATAGTATTACATATTAAATTATATTAGGAAAAGATGAACCTCAGATTTATGTGGTCATGATGCCAGAATAGATAGGTCAGTGTAACAGAGGGATAAAAAGACAGACTTCTGTAGACACATTTTTTCCCCATAGATTATAAAACAATTCAAGTTCATGGGGAAAGGTTGGGCTCTTCAGTAAATGGTTTTAGGACAACTGGCTGGCCATGTGAGCGGATGATAATGACAATAATGATGATGATGATAACAGCTAATGCGTATTGACTCATCGCTGTGTGCCAGGCACCATAATAATAAATGCTTTCTATGAATCATCTTCCTCAATCATCACATTAAGCCCTTATCCTATTTGCTTCACATACAAGAAAGCGCTGGTTCACGCAGTTAAGTGATTTTCCTGCAGCCAGATGGTGGTGTGCGTGTCTGAACTTAGCCCACAGTCTTAACGGATAATTTCTCCTACTTCTCCTAGATTCCTACTTTCCTTATTTTTCTAAAACGAAGCCCCCAAATTTAATAAAGATTAATATATAAATAATAGGGTATAAGATTTAAGGATGGCAGCATAAAACCAGCATTTCTTCTCTTCCTGGAAAACATACAAAAGCAAATGGGAGAAAGGAAAATAGAAAATATAAACTCCATTTTGCATAAAATTAGGCACCACAATAGCTAGAATGTTAACCATAAAATAGGTGACTGAGCAACCAGCCCTGTATACTGAGAAGTGAACATACAGAAGGACAAGGAGAGGCAGAGAGAGGCAGAGACTCTGGACCCTGATCCCAGCCTCATGTGCTCTCCTGGAGTTTGTCCATTTCAGTAAGTGGCACCTGTCTGGGCATCATGCCGATAGCCCTTCGGTGCACAGGATGATGCCCAACCAACTGCACCACAGTGGCCAGGGCGGATGACCCAATTTTAAATGCAAACTACTCCCCACTCCTCTCCCACCCCCAAACCCAGGCACACCCTGACTCTGGTCTTTGGACATTGCCATGACCAAAGCTTCCCTGGAGGTCAGAAGTGGCCCTGGCTGTGGGCAGCCAGAGAGCAAAGGAAGCCCAGGCAGGCCACGGGCTGTGCCTCGGCGATCTCTTTCACTAGCAGCCCCTTTCTGGCCCTCGGCAGCTAACTAGGGGACAGCCATGGTCAAGACAGTTACTGAAACCCGTTCTCTCCACCATGAATGACATATATGTGCTTAGCTGTGCATTTCTGGGAGCACAGGTGAGGCCCACCATGGTGTTAAGCCCTGATTTAAAACAATTATTTTTTCAGATACGAGGCCTCATTTGTTCGTGTAAAAGAACAGAAAATCAGGAGACAGAATTGAATGTCTTAGAATTCGTGTATCCAGACCCAAGGTCAAAAATGTAATAACATTATTTTCAGCAAAGATTGTTTCATTTCTGCAACAGCTGCCCTTAAGCCACTGCATTTACTCAGGAATGCTGCAGCCCAGGGTTAAATTGTTGCATCTCTCAGAGCCACAGGCAGAGTCTGGTTTGTCTGCATTATTTCTGTCACATAGAAAGGAGCTGCACTGTGCTCTGAGTGAGTATTTGATCATTGGAAACACGTTCCATAAACAAGGCTACACTTTCTTAAGAAATACCTTTATTATTTGAATAATTTGAATGATAACATACAATATTTCTATATTCTACTGGGGAACATTAAAAAAAAAGCACAATGCTTGGTATTTTATTGGTTGTAAGGCAGGCAATGCGGTGAACTGTGGGAGAGTGTGCACATTAAAATTCTGGCCAGTGGTCACTGCATACTGAAGGCCATAGAAATTGCTTATTCTTTGAGCCAGCAATTTCATGTGTAGAAATTTATCCCCGGGACAAAATGGACACATGTACAAAGGTCAAGGAGACAGAAGTTATTATGACATTTTTATAACAGTGAAAAACTAGAAAAAGCAAACACACAATACCCAGCAATAGTGTCGGACACACCTAATTGCCACTTGCCCATCCTCCCGTCTTACTCGGTGGCCTAGCACAAGTTGTGGTCATGAAGCCAGTGGGCTCAGCTACAACACAGCTTGCAGACCCCCTACGGCTCAGGGTGACTTAGCCAGGGAGGTGTTAGCGGAATTGATTGATGACACATTCTGGAAAGATCTGACAAGGGAGTTGACTCAGGTGGGAGTGGCAGCCCTCTCCCTTCGCTCTTCCTCCTCCCTGGGAATGTGGAAATGGCCGCTGAGCTCAGTGGCCCTTTTAAAAATTGATTTCAGAGAGAAAGGGAGAGGGAGAGAGTGAAACATCAATAATGAGAGACAATCATAGATTGGCTGCCTTCTGCACGGCCCTGACTGGGGATGGAGCCTGTAACCTGGGCATGGGCCCTGACCAGGAATTGAAATGTGACCTCCTGGTTCATAAGCAGACACTCAACCATTGAAGCCACACCAGCCCAGAGAGATATATTTGGGTCCCTGGTGACTTATAGGAGAAAAAAAACTAGTCCTGAACTATCTACATCCAGACTCCTTGTGGTTTAAGTCGCTGAATTTAATATTAACAAAGGCAAAAGTAGGTAGATGTACTTATTGATGTATTAATATCAACTCTACACAGACATGAAAAATCATGTTAAACACCCATATTTGTTGACAAGAAAAGACACTCGTAGTATATTGTTAACTGAAGAAAAAAAGATTATAAGTCAGAAATATCTGTATATTTATATATGTGTGTCTGGGGAGAGGTCTGAAAGGCTAAGCAAAAAATGTTTGCAGTAGTCACCTTTGACTGATGTTATTTCAGGGAACTTAACTCTTTTAAAATTCAGTTGGTTGAAGTTTATAATTTTTTTCTTTGATGATTTTATATGACACATAAAATCTAAAGATAATTGGCTACTGTAGCTTAATTTGCACATTAATAATGGGAAGGAATAAAATGTATGTAATGTCTATGGCAGACAAAGCATTATTTAACCTGTGAAAAATACTCTTGCAAATAGATAAGACACAGAGGTGTGTGCAAGTAACATAAATAAGAAATTTCCCAAGGGGGAAACAGAAGTGGTCAGTTAACAGAGAACAAAACATTTTCAATAGCATTAGTGATCTAAATAGGCCATTAAAACAGAAAACCATTTCACTCATCACATTGTGAAGACAGAATAAAAAGATCTTATCTAATTGGCAAGAATGCAGGGACACGCACAGCCTCATACTGCTGGTGGGAGTGTAAATTACTCTAACATTTTCCAAAGGGCCCTGGGCCCGTGCAGACCCAAATCGTTAATGTGCTCATGCTATTTCATTGCTAGGAATTTAGTGGGAGAAAGCAATCACACTTATGCCCATTGCATTAACATGCACAGATGCTCATTGCTGTGGTGTTGACAGTTCTGAGTAACTGGACACAACCTAAGGGAGGCAGGGAACGTCCACAGTGGCAAACATTAGAAATATTTTTTGAAGAAGAAAAGCATCATGGAAAATGTTCATAATATGTATGCACATCTATATAAACTAAATTCAATGTATGATGTTGATTTGTTTCCATGTAATGAAACATGGGGCTTCAAAATAAGAAGTCACGTGGGCAGACACTCTGAGTAACAGGCTTGTATTTGTGAATAAACCACTTTTACAAGGACAATGGGTGAGGCCTGCTGCAGGGAGTAGCCTCAGAGATTTCTTAAAAGAACTCAATTGATTCCCCCTGCAACCCAATGGTGTCTATGGTGTCTAGCACCTCCTGGGCTCCCTCTCTTCCTTTTCCCTGGGAGGAAATACACTAGAAGGGATTGTGGGAAGTGTGCCATTTGGTTTTCCCCCTATTATTGTTATTTTCATAATAAGAAAATGCAACACTGTGTTTTAAACAGCAACATCCAGAATACAAACCATGATTAAATAAGCATAAGTAAATATGCTCGTAACAATTAAACATATACAGTAGGTCCCAGATTGTCACAAAAAGATTAAATTCATTTGTTTATCCAACCAGTATATATTGGACCCTCAACTACTATTTGATAAATAAATTGCTAAATGAGAACACAAAAACAACTTCCAGTATGTTCATACACATAGTTAAAGAACCTTCCACGGGGAAGATGATAAGATAGACGTAAGTCATATTTACAGTATCTAGAACGGTTTCCCCATAGTTTACACCTTGCACATTTCTACTCATGCCCTGTTTGCAGTGTTACCTTAAAAGGGAACTGCTGCTTTGCCTTTGAAGAGAAAGCATGATTAGGAATGAAAGCTCAAAATAGACATTGGATGTGTTTGTATGTGATCTGTATAACCTAAGGTGACCAGTTAAATAAAACAATAAAAAAAACTTTATTTTCAACCTTCTAAAACCTCTGAATCTCATATGTGTAAATACTGGGGAAATAAAGCTCCAAAATGAGCAATTCTGATAATTTCTCCTTGTACTTCCACCTATAGGGGTTGCAGTGGTCTCCAAGCAGCATAGCTATACAGTAGGCAACGCAGAACTGTCCCAGGTGCTGAAATAACTTACAGGAGTAACCTGCCTCCCCATTCACGATCTTTTCCAGGTCATGTTATACAGGAACAGATACCGTCCTGGTCTGAAGAAAACACGGAGGCTGACCACTAGTGGTATGTGTGAAAGAAGGACAGACTTGGTGGAGCTGGGGACATATCTACTTACAGGAAACATCTTTGGAAGGACTACAAATTCTCATCTAATTCTTTGGAATGTGCATATGTATGACAGACAACATGCAAACAAGTAACTTCATACCTTTAGAGAATTTCCACACGATTGTGGGGACAGGATAACCCTCGGCTGAGCAATTGAGGATGACAGCCTTCCCATAAATCCCGTCCTGGTCTCGTGGCTGAACCACAAACTTGGGAGGAACTGAAAAGAGAGACATGTCACCAGTGATTCAGACAAGACCACAACTCATTAAAGGTACGCTTTTAAGAAATCCAAGAATTTAGTGAACATTAAAACACAAAGAATGTTTTATATATATGGAAATTAAAAAAAAACAGTGTTTGAAATTCGGGACAAATTAGGGAAGCTATCTCATTGCAGGCAACTTTTCTTATTTATACCAATGAGCTTTTGCAGATGGAGTTACTTTGCACTGGGGAAAACCAGACTCTTGAGTGTGGGAGTTGAGCTAAACCAAGGGACGGTGGGATTTTGCTTTTGATTTGTGTTTTGGAAGATCTTCAGGAATCCACTCCATGGAAAATAGAATCAGAACCACAATTTGAAGAAGAGATAAAACATATTTGCTCATCAAAGAGTAATTATCAAGATTAAGTATTCCTCTTGGTGTGAACTGCTCACAGCATTTGATAATTATTCTTCCTGAAATAGGAGATGAAGGGAGAATGAAAAGGCATTCCCTAAAGGATAAAGAACAAGGCATGTTATTGAACTTCTCTCAAAAAAATCTGATGAAGACACATAGACCATTATTCATAATGTCAGCACCCTCTGGGCCAAAGGGGGACTATGGAGGCTAGTTGACGTGAGGTACCATGATGGCTTTATACTATATCAATTTAAGAAGCAGATTAAAGCTATATAGTATAGCTATTTAAGAAGCTTGAGTTTTGTGTGGTGTTGGAAAAATTCTATTCTTCTGCAAAACAAACACATACACTTCATTGAAAACATACCTGCCAAGGGAAAGCAGGTGCTTTGAGTTAAGGTATTGTGATTTTAAGAGTATTCAAGTCTTCTCTTAAGGAGAAGATATGGATTCCTCTAGGAACGGTAGCATCTGAAGGTTTTAGAATCTCGGAATCTTTTCCAGCAGGGCAATGATGAATTATGGGATGGGCTTTCAATAAGGCAGGATTGTGTGAGAGGAAACGGATTATGTTGTATATATCACACACTTAGCAAATATGGGTGCTCTTCCTCTCTTTCTCACAATTCCTTGGAAATCTAACTTTGTCTGCCTGCAATTTTCAGAGTTCTTCATTCTGAAAGAGAAACGTGGACCTATATGTACATGTACGTAGACAGGAGTTTCAGCCACCACATGAAATGACTGGGAGGAAGGTCAGAGCCTAGGTTAACAAGGAGCTTAGAAGCACACTGACATTATCTGAGCCATAGTGAAGGTCACTTTGGCCAAAAAACAGCCAAGGAGGGGAGAAAAATATCAAATAAAAATGAGGCCATTAGGGTGAGCCCTAATCCAATCTGACTGGTGTTCTTATGAGAAGAGACGATTAGGACACACAGACCAAAACCAGGCATGTGCCCACATGGAGAAAAGGCTGCCATCTGCAAACCAAGGACAGAGGACTCAGAAGAAACCAAACTTGCCGACACTTTAGGACTTCTAGCCTCCAGAAATGTGAGAAAATAAACGCCTGCTGTTTAAGGTACCCAGTCTGTTGTATTTGGCTACGAGAGCCCTAGCAAACTAAGACAGTAGTCATCCTAATGGCTCGCTGTGGTTTTGATTTGCATTTGTGACGAGTATCTTTTCAGGTACTTGTTGGACATGTGTGTGTCTTCTTTTCAGAAGTGTCTGTTCAAGTCCTTTTCCCATTAAAAAAAAAAGACACAAGAAGCAGCCGTCAAAGGAACCCACTCCTGTGCTTCTGGAAGAGACACTGAAATGAAGGCTGGGAGTACGGAGCCAAAGGCTAAACACCTGGGTTAAATCTCTAAATCTGCTACTTCCTGTTAGATGATCTTGTGCAAGTTATCAAATGTCTTTTAACTTTAATTTTCTTATGTGTAAATGGGGGATAATGACATCACTCATCTTATAGGATTGGTGTGGGGATCAAATGAATTAAGATTATAAATGTTCTCAGAACAGAGTTTGAGTCTTGAAGAGTGCTGGTTAATTTAGGATATTCAGGTATGTGCAGCTTTAACATAACAAACACAGTTCCCAACTCACAAGTTAAATAAGTTACACAGTCAATGGATCTCTTCAATATTCCTTATCTGTAAGCAATTTTACTTCACTTAGATGATATTCTGAGTCAAGTATATTGTAACTGCGTATTACCAAATATTTGTTTGTAATCCACCCTTTTGGTGGATGGAACAAAACCAAAAGACAGAGCCATCTTATATTTTGGCGGGAAATTCCCCCGCACTCCAAGTTAACATAACAAACACAGTTCCCAACTCACAAGTTAAATAAGTTACAGTCAATGGATCTCTTCAATATTCCTTATCTGTAAGCAATTTTACTTCACTTAGATGATATTCTGAGTCAAGTATATTTAATAAAATGTAAATATATTTAAAATCAGGTGATCAGGGAGGACTACCTCACAGCGAATTTCTAGGAAAATGCTAGAGAATTTATAGAGCAAATTTTTCTAATAAAAATAATCCATCAACCTCAAGGATAAATTACAAAGTTTAAGACATCATGACGGATTCTTCCTGCCGAGGTGGAAGACAAATATGCAGTCATCTACATTCTATTCTCTATTTGGCTCAAATTCTGCTAAGAGCAAGGAACCCCTTGTCAGATATGCAGGTAACTAATCTCTTGTATTTCCTCTGGAAGAATGTCTAATTATAATTGATCCGTGACCACTCAAATTAATTTGGTTTTAATTCAAAGGGATGTCACTTAAAAACTGATCAAAAAGGTTTGCATGGGAAATAACCATTGACATATTGTGAGTGTAAGGTAATTGCAGATGGAAATTGCCCATAAAATTGAGAATTATCTTTCATATCCCTCTTTCATCTCTTATTATAGGTACTGATGATTCTTGGAAAATATTTAATATATCCTCAAATTCTGTGTATTTTCACTGCCATGCCCTAGTCATGACAGGTAGACAGGGTGCATGGTAAAGTGCCACATACCCTCAGGCTATCTGGTTTCAGCACCCTTGGGCTGGACAGTTCCACACACTTTACCAGCCCTACTGCACAAGGACCGTGAGTCTCTGGAGCAGGGGTCCTCAAACTACAGCCCGCAGGCCACATGCAAATACAAATATTGTATTTGTTCCCGTTTTGTTTTTTTACTTCAAAATAAGATATGTGCAGTGTGCATAGGAATTTGTTCATAGTTTTTTTTTAAACTATAGTCCGGCCCTCCAACGGTCTGAGGGACAGTGAACTGGCCCCCTGTTTAAAAAGTTTGAGGACCCCTGTGCGTCTCTGCTGTTTTAGAGCCTTCTCTGAAGCTACAAATGCTTACTCCCTTCACTGATGCAACCCAGAAATGTAGGAGATAATCATACATCATTGAAGGACAGGAGATGGGGTAAATGCCCTACCTTTCCATCCTGCAATCCTGTAGGACAACTCTAGGGCAAGTTCTACGCTTGTGTTTCTCAAACATTAGAGGGCATCAGAATCGCCCAAAGAGCTGATTAAAACACAAATTGATGAACCCAATCCCCAGAAAGTCTGAGTCAGTAGATCTGAGGTGGGATCCCAAGATTCGGTCTTTCTAATAAGCTCCCCCGTGAAGCTGAGGCTGCTGGTCCAGAATCCATGCTTGGAGAACACTGTTCTTTGTGATTCCTTGGAGGATTTCCACCCCCAAAAAAATTGACCATCAGTTGCCCACAGCATCAACTAGCTTATTAAAACAACTTTTACTGACTTTCCCTTCGTTTCTGATCTTATTTTCCATTTTCTCATTCTGGGCTGTAGGAACTACATCTCAAGTACAAGATTTGCAGTTAAGTCTGTACCTCACACTCTGCTTTCAGAGGAACTCAACCCAAGACAAGGCAGATAACGACACTTATCTGGACTTCTGAAACAATCTCCAAACTGGTCTACCTTCCACCTGCTGCCTCACTTGAATCCATTCTCCACACAGTGACCTGAAGGATCCTTCTAAGACCTAAATTGGATGGCTGTGAATTCCCTGTTTAAAATCATTAATACATTCTCATTGTTTCTTGGTACAATCTAGAACCTTACAATATTTTTAAGGCTTCTTATGACTTGGGTCCTTGGTCTCCAGCTTAATTTCTTGATGTTCCCCTTTTGGCATATTAAAAAAAAGCTCTCTTCTTGCATTCCATCCTTCACTCATTGCATACATCTTTTCATTTGAATTCTTGAATATGATAGCTGCCTTAAAACCTTGCCTGCTAATTCCAACATCTGTGTGTCCATTAGTCCATTTATTTTAATTTCCTTTCTTTTACTTATGGCTCACATTTTTCTGTTTCTTCACATGTCTAGTAAATGTCTGTAAGACACTATAGATCAGTGGTTCTCAACCTTCTGGCCCTTTAAATACAGTTCCTCATGTTGTAACCCAACCATAAAATTATTTTCGTTGCTACTTCATAACTGTAATGTTGCTACTGTTATGAATCATAATGTAAATATCTGATATGCAGGATGGTCTTAGGCGACCCCTGTGAAAGGGTCGTTCGACCGCCAAAGGGGTCGCGACCCACAGGTTGGGAACCGCTGCTATAGATATTCTATGCTATTGAGAGTCGAGATTTTATTGCTTTGTTTTTAAGAGTGTTGAGTGTCATTTCTGCAGAAAGTTAATTTAATGGTGGAGAAGTTTTATCCTGGCAAGGCTCTCTTTTGGCTTTTTTATGGCTTGTCTAGAGAAGCCCTTATTCCAGGACTAGATTAGCCCTACTCTTAGGATGTGGCCCTGAAATTTCAACTGAATTCCTCATGCATTCTGTATTCTGGTTAGTCAGCATTCCAATATTTTTCAGTACTGTGTAACCTTTGGAATCTTTATTCATCTGACATAATCTTGATTTTTGTTCTCTGCTAGATTTCATGGAATCTCACCATATGCCTATGAAGTGTAGTAATCAGCTCAAGACTCAAAGGAAGCAGGATACAAATTTTTAGTAATTTATTTGTGGACAGTTCCTTATTCTCCAGTACTCTGCCCAGCAAAATCCAGAGCCTCAATAGTTCTAAATTCCTATCTCCACCTAGAAAGATCACCGTTATTTCCTGTCAGGGTTTGGAAAGTGCTCCAGGAAGAAATCTGGGGTGAATTTGGAGTTCAATTCATATACTTCCCTTCTCCTAGGATCACAGTTCTGTGCTGCTGTCCCACTCCCTGAAAATGGTTGCTTTATAATTTTTTTGTCCAGTTTTATAGTTGTTTTCAGTAGGAGAATACATTACCTATTACTCTCTGGTTGCCCCCATTCAATAAATTTTTAAATTAGTGTTTCAAGTTAGTTGACCCCAAATCTGCCTCCCTGAAATTTCCAACCATTTCTGTTGCTTCTACCTTCTGGAGTTCACACGCCCGCCCCCCCCCCCCCCCTCGCCACTATGGTTAATACTATACCAGTTTGAACAAATTCTACTGAGGCAAAAACTCCAATCCCAAATTATTAATTCAAAGGTACTATAATTATTGCCTCTTTATCTTGCCACATATTTTTCCTCTCTATTGACTCATTCCAATCAGCATGTAAGCTTCCCTTGTCCAATGTCCGTCTCTAACTTCTCCACATTCTGCTGCCTGTCATAGCAACATACCTATAAATATGAAAATAGATGCTTTTTCTTGCATTCCCATACATTCATCCATCCCCCTTTCTGCAGCCATGCCACTCTTCAAGGCCACAAATAATATCCATCTTCCTAAACTCAATGACCAAGTATTATTTTTCTTCTTCTTTTCTCCTAGTAAGGCTTTGATATATTGTGTTACCTAACTTTCTTGATACACTTCCTATTTTGTTTCCAAGAGCCCACAGTCCCCTGGATTTCCTCCTATTTCACTGGTTGTTCTTTCTTCCTGTCTCCTTTGCTGATGCCTCCTCTTATTGGAATGCCTTGGGTCTAGCCAGGGGTGGGCAAACTTTTTGACTCGAGGGCCACAATGGGTTCTTAAACTGGACCGGAGGGCCAGAACAAAAGCATGGATGGAGTATGTGTGTGTGAACTAATATAAATTCAAAGTAAACATCATTACATAAAAGGGTACGGTCTTTTTTTTTTTTTTAGTTTTATTTATTTCAAACGGGCCGGATCCGGCCCGCGGGCCGTAGTTTGCCCACAGCTGGTCTAGACCCTCTGTTTCTCCCACATCATTGTTTCCCTTGTCACAATGGTTACTCCTCACATCTTCTCTGCCTATGTGTGCTACTCCTCACATCTTCTCTGCCTATGTGTGTTACTCCTCACATCTTCTCTGCCTATGTGTGCTACTCCTCACATCTTCTCTGCCTATGTGTGCTACTCCTCACATCTTCTCTACCTATGTGTGTTACTCCTCACATCTTCTCTACCTATGTGTGCTACTCCTCACATCTTCTCTGCCTATGTGGAAGACAATTCCATTTACCTTACTAGGTAAAATACGTGCTTCATGATAAATTCCTCTTTCTCTCGTTTGCAGCATTCACTTAATAAACATGCTTTGTTTGCTTCACCTCCAATATATATTGCAAATTCAACTGCCATTACCACCTTCATTCAAGGTGCTTTTTATCTTGCCTGAACCTCAGAAATAGTCTCTTATCTATTATCCTTGCATTTTGGACCAGTCCATTCATTACTCAGCTACTAGTGTGATAATTGGAAAGATAAATCAGGACATACTACTGACCTGGTTAAAATCACTAATGACCTCTTTGCATTTAGAAAAAAATCTAGACATATTCCTTTGCTGGTGATATCTTAAAACTTCATATTTTAGGTAGATAAAACCTTGGCTTGGAGTTTAGGAGAGTTCATAGCTGGTTTTGTACTTGTGTGTTTTTTTAATGAGCCGACAGCAATTTCCATGAATTCTAGTTATATATTCATAATATTTCCAACAAATACCATAATTTTGGCTGCTTAACCACCATACCTCCCACGTGTCCCACTCACCTCTCACTATTAGCTGACTCTGGTGCTCCACGGCCGCTGCCTCGTTCCGGGCTATGCAGGTGTAATTCCCATTATGCATGAGGGAGAGGTTGGAAATCCTTAAGGAGCTTGTGAAGTCGATGTTGTCAATGGTCACCCCAAGGCTCGCTGGGATTGGCCGGCCGTCCTTCTGCCAGGTGATCGTGATGGGTAGGTCGCCTGAGCCCACAACGCACGGGATGAAGACCCGCTGTCCAATGGAGAATCTCGGAAACTCAAAGGGTTGGATAAAAGGTGGGACTGAAAGAAAGGGAGGAAAAGTCATAGAATATTACCTAAAATATTACTTAAAATATGCTAATGAGCAGTGTAAATATTCTACATGCTCTTTTCCTGTAAACCTTTTGCATGACATTGTGCATCATATTTTCAACTATTGCAACACTCCTACTTATTACCTCATCTCTTCGTCTAAACCAGATGCTGAGAATTCAGGATACTGATGAGGGCTCAGTCAGAAGCCGGCTGGCAAGCCAAAGGGAGCGAGAGACCAAGAATTGCGACACGCCCAGCAGTTGGGGAAGGTTTTCTGCTGGGGCCCTTAACAGTCAGCTTTTGTGCAATCAAAACAAAATTATAGTATTTAATTAAGACTCTGAATCATACATTATAGTTAACATGTTAAATGGAAAAAAAGATATAGCCAAACTATTTTAAAACATATGTACATAAAAACCCCACCAAAATAGTTAAGCATTTTCATGATGAAAGGAAGACTTTAGTAGAGAGAAGTCACTTTCCCAGAACAATCTCAAAATCAGGTTTGTAACTTGTTGCTTTGCTCCCAACACTAGATCAGGAAGCACATTTAAAAATGCATGTTAGCCGATACCAGTTTGGCTCAGTGGATAGAGCGTTGGCCTGCGGACTGAGGGGTCCCGGGTTCGATTCCGATCAAGGGCATGTACCTTGGTTTCGGGCATATCCCCAGTAGGAGATGTGCAGGAGGCGGCTGATCGATGTCTCTCTCTCTTCGATGTTTCTAACTCTCTATCTCTCTCCCTTCCTCTCTGTAAAAAATCAATAAAATACATTTAATAAAAAAAATATATTAAAAAAATGCAGGTTAAACCTAGAGACCTAGTTTTTAATCATATCACTCTTCTCCTCACTACAAACGTCATCTCCCTGACTTCAGTCATGAATCACAAGTCTGCAGTATAAATGCTTTAAAAAGTTTTGAAAGTCCCAAATCTCATATTTTACATAAGATATAAAAATTAGAGGCAAAAATTAAAACAAGTAATTTTAAAAACTCTTAGGTGATTTTGGTCACGCCAAATCGCCTCTTTGAGACACATTGCTTACACTACCTGGTTCATTACATCACCTTGTACGGAAAATTCTCTGAGTCTTGCTGATAGTGAGAGCTTGTAGTGTTACAGGAGCAGACATTTCGAATGTAACCTGCAACAGGTTCTGACATAACCTTCCTACATGAAGTATGTACATATCTGCTACATGTCACTTACCTCCAGGTTCGCTAATCTCATTCTCTATAATGATGGGAGTTTCTTACTCCAAGACAGTATTGAGCCACTGAATGCTGCCAAATGTTAATTTAGACTCTTCTTGTTCTTTAATCAATTAAATGTTCATGCTCTTAGTAATGTATAACACTTATTCTTGATAGATCCTTAATAAGAATGTTAAGTAATGCTAATACCTTTCTGTGTTTTGAGCCTCAATTATTAATCATATATTCTTTCTAATAGGAGGGAGAACAAATGAAAAGAAACATGGTTTGGGTGTTGGTCAGTCTTGGGTAATTAGCAGTGGCTTTTTGATCCAGTTTCTTTAACTATGATTCTATTTCTTCATGTGTAAACTGGGGATAATGAAACACAATTCATGAGCATGTTGGGGGGAGGGCTTTATATAATGTCAGCAGAGAGCCCAGGGGGTACATAGAAGCTGCTCAAGTAGTATTGTCCTATCTTTCCTCTTCTTTACTTTTTTTTTTGGCCCACGACCCATAATTCAACAAATCAATCACATGGATGCTGAGACTTACTGCTTGTATCGTCATGTACCCTTTCTCAATTCCACATTTTGTCTCCTTTTTCTAGTAGCAACTTAACCCATGGGCACCACACAATTCCCAGGCTGACAGCTCTTGGTCCTGAATGCTCAAAGGGTCTGCCTCGAGCCCAAGTCTTCTGAGTCACAGCCATGGGTGTTTGAGCCTTCTCAACTCCTTTTCTCATGCTGTCCATCAAGCCCCCTTTCTCCATCCTTTAAGGAGTTTTCTTTCATTAACATCTTCCTTGCTTCATAAAGTTCCCCCCAAATTGTATCTGCTAATTCAAATCCCATGGCCTGTCTCAGAAAGTTCAGTCTCAATTCCACACCCATCGAAGGTGCCCACATGCCAACTGGATAAGCCCGGGACCTGCACAGGCTTCTAGCTCTGGGCTGTGCATTGAAATGCGAGCTGTACTTCACCAATTTCAGCCCTCGAATCCCAAGTTCAAAGTTCTCATGGTCTGAGTCCACAATGGTGGTCCATAGATACTTTATACAAAACCACATCCTTCATAAGACTTTCCCAAGCCACTGGTATTCCAGGTTCCCTCTCTCAGCCTCTCCATAATCCAGATCAGAATTCCTGGACTCATCTGGGTTTTTACCAAACCTTGCTTACCAAATCCACTCCTTTTTTAGCTCTCTAATTTAACTAATCAATCTATCTCTCTCTCTCTCTCTCTCTCTCTCTCTCTCTCTCTCTCTCTCTCTCTCCCCCCCTCCTTCTCTCCCTCCCTCCCTCCCTCCCTCATTTGGCTCTATCTTACACCCTTACTTAAAATAATCCTCTTTCTTTATCTTTAAAAAGCATTCTTTCTGAGTTCTTTGCCTTAATTTTTCCTCACTCCCACCCTGGCTTCCCACTGCAATGTGAGTTACTGTTCTAAACCACCCAGCGGAGTTGCACTGAAATCCCAGGATGTGTATTTGAATCTTAAATACGTTACTGAGCCACTTTGAGTAGGTCTCCTGCTCTTTCTTATTCTGTTTCTCTAATTATGTTTTATCTACATTCCAGAGTCACCATGAGTATTAATTAAGGTCACACATATGAAAGTGTTTTGTAAACGATAAAGTTTAATATAAATATAAATAGAAGGTGACATTTTTGTCTGGCAGCCAATTAACTTCCCTGGCAGTGTTGGTCCCTAGCAATTAGAACACTCAATTAGTCACTGTTCCAGCTCAATGTGGCACCTAAAATGAGGAAGAAAACGCTTTGAAATGTGTTAAATACAACTCTGCTTGTTAAGTTGAAGTGAAAGAAGGGATTTTAATTTTCATTTCTCTCTACATGTTTGAACACAGCAAAACTACGCTTCTGGTTAGTCAATTATTTCCTAACTACTTAAGTTTCAGGCATTATCAATAATTAACACATTATATCAATCTTTAAGTTTCTTCAAATTTCCAAGTCATGATACGAAAAAACAACAACAACAAAGGGCCATGACTATGACCAAAAAAGACATGACTGGAATATACTATTGTTTCCAAATGTCATCTAAATCACACACACACACACACACACACACACACACACACCTCTATTTGGTGTTAAAGTCAAGCCCCTGAAATATAAAACAAATATAAAAATTGTTTGACTCACATTTGCAGCATTATTGATGCAAACAAATCGGCCCACTTCCAAAGGATGTCAACAAAGGAGGCATCATATTTGCTCTTCCAAAAATCACTATGTAGTCTAACAGGAAGGTAACAGAACTGTATATATATGAATAAAAAAAGAAAGACCGGCCCTAGCTGGTTTGGCTCAGTGGATATTGGCCTGCCGACTGAAAGGTCCCAGGTTCGATTCCAGTCAAGGGCACATGCCCAGGCTCAATCCCCAGTAGGGGGCGTGCAGGAAGCAGCCAATCAATGATTCTCTCTCATCATTGATATTTCTATCTCTCCTTTCCTTTCCTCTCTGAAAGTATACATATATTTAAAAATCAATCAGTGAATCCATTGGGACAACAAATCGATGCCTCTCTCCCCCTCTGTCTCTCTAAAATCAATCAATAATAAAAAAAGACTGTTTTTCAACTCTGATCCACAGGGAAAGTAAAAAAACTCAGTCATTTCCTATAATTCAGTTGATCCCTTCTCTTCCCCCTTATAATTGAAAACAGTAATGATTATTCATTTTTTTAAAGTTTTGATTTTGTAATACTATCAATAAAAATATACAAAAATATTTATTAATTTTTTAAAAATTGTGACCACTGGTGTGTGATTTAATTTATATGTTTCATTTGACATTTCAGTGTGCAGAAGTCAATTTGGTTATGGCCTTCTTAATGACATCTGAGTAAAGACTAAAATTTTTAATAGTATGTGATTGTTACTATATATTGAAAATGAGAGGTTATCCTAAGCAAGAAATGCAAGTGGTATCTTAAATCAAATTACTCTCAATATCTTTGGTAGGGTTCAATACACGTGAATATGACAAAATAAAAATAAAAGGATGCCCTAAGCTGGCTTACAAGAATCCAGAATTTATTATTTTTTATGTTTTATCTGGGAAGTCCTATATGGCTTAAACAGGCTAAACCCTATATACCTAGCCTACAATTTCCTCGTTCAATATGTACAGTTTCATTAGTCTACACAGAAAAGATGAAATTAAGTAAAAGTAAGGTAGGATATCTTGTAGTATTGCTACCTGACAATTATATTTAGTTTAGAAAATGCTCCTTGCCCAGCTGGTGTGGCTCAGTGGATGACCATCAGCCCATGAACCAGGAGGTCACAGTTTGATTCCCGGGTTGTGGGTTCGATTCCCAGTAAGGGACATGCAAGAGGCAGCTGATCAATCGATATTTCTCTCTCATCTATGTTTTTCTCTATCCATTTCCCTTTCTTTCTCTAAATTCAATTAAAAGTATTTTTTAAATGCTCCTTAAACAGAAGAAAACATGTTAGCAATGATTAACAAAAAGAATTACAGTGGAACCTCGATTCTCGAACTTAATTTGTTTCGGAAGGCTGTTCGAAAACCGAATCATTATTTCCCATTAGAAGAAATGTAAATGGAATTATTCCGTTCCAGATCTCCAAATGATTCCCTGTTTTAACCTTCCTTATATGCAGTACATGTCTAATATATTTTTCAATCCATAACAAAAAGGACATGAAATATAAATGAAAATCTAATAAAATAAAATGTACAGTAAAAAATGAAAATTTAATAATAGTAAGCAGCAAAAAACCATGAAAATATTCACAGCACACTTTCCTGGGAGGTTTAGAGGTAAACTGACCCACACTTGTGCCTTATCTCCTTTTCTGTTGCCCAAGAGACACGCAACTGATCATACAGGTATCGGCATGAAAGGGTTGTCGGGTTGAGAGGTGAATTGTTCGAGATGGGAGACATTCGAGAACTGAGGTTTGACTGTAAATGCTCTCTCTCTTCTGCCCAGATGTTCACAAAAAACTAATTTACACCTAATGAACACCAAATGAACACATACTTTTTTAGCAAGTTCTGTATTTCCACTTCTTGGCAAACCCACTGTTAAATCTTTTCTAATCAAATTTTTGTTCGTGTGTGACATTCCCGTGAGATGGAGCCGTGCAGTGATGCAATGTGTCACCTGGAGGCTATTCTTAGAGACGGCAGGGGTGGCTCTTGCTTTGTTGACTTGGTTGTAAGTTCATGGAGGTCTTTGGTTTCACTACAGTCTGGCATCTGGAGGGAGTTCTGCTCTCTTTGTCTGTCTGATCTGATTGCCACACCTGACATCCTCCTGCCATCTGGTCCCCCCCACCCCCACCCTCACCCCTGCCTATCAGTAGTCTTTGCTGGGCTTCTATTGCCTAATATGGCTCTTACCTCTGGGGTTGGTTTCTTTGAAGGAGAATGCATCACCACTGGATACAGTATATTTTCTGAGGTACTGACCTACTCAGGGCCTTTCTTACGTGAGCACATTTTAATATGGGAACACACACATTCTTGAAGTCACTATCAGGCCTGTTCATATATTAATTCACTCTCTTAACATCTGTTGTTTTCATTTTCCTCCTTCTCTTGTAACTCAAGCTTGTCCCTGTTGTAAAGGTGTGGTGGAGGCAGGCAGCTTACCCAGGAACCTCACAGCTTTGCCACCGTGATTGGTCCAGGAAGGGCTGGTGGTCTGCAGAGAGCCAACCAGAGTCCCGCCCTAAAATTTGCTTGTCATATGTGGAGAAGCTGCTCTGAATGAACTAAGCCCAGGTGCTGAGGGAAACACCAAAGACACAGAGAAGGTTCCAATGGTAATTCAGGGTCTGGACCAGGTCCCCCTTGAGGCCTTTACTATTTCAGCCCTTCCCAAAGATTGGCTGAATACGCCCTCGAAGCTCCGTCCATATCTCCTCAACACACTATTGTAACTGCTATGAAGCTAGTTTGATTTAGCTTCCCGAACTTTGCAATCAGGAAGGCCATGGTCAATATATAGATTTGTCTCATTTACAAAATTTAAAGAGACAGATTTAAATTTCAAGTTGCCCTTGCTTGAATTTTTGTCAGACATCCTCTTCAGATATTTGGCGAATAGGTTTTAATGTGAATCTAAGAAAGTTCTAAGTGTGTTTATATGAAGTTGAAATCTGGAGTGAAGCTTACAAAGTCCCTTGGTGACCACACCTCAACCTGTGGCCTCACATATTATCTGTAACTTTACACATTATCTATTCCTGATGTCCCAAATCTACAGCCCAGACTCCTAAATTTCACTTCCTCATACATTCAGGTTCCTACTTAATGGGTCGCTTGTTGTCTAATGTATATTTCAACTTCGACACATCAACAGCTGGATTTCTACTTTCTTGCTTTAAACTTCTTTACTGCATCTCTGTTGATGGCAGTGCTGTTCTTTCCACTGCTCAGGCCAAAATTTGGGGGTTATCCTTACATCATTTTTTCTCTCATGCCCACATCCAATCCATTAGCAAATCTGATTGAATAGATCTTAAAAATATGTCCAGCATCTGCCTTCTACCTGCCACTTCTACTTCTCTCTCCCAGGTCCAAGCCTCCTTACTGTTCACCTGGATTAACTCTCTAACAGGCCAGCCTGCTTGTCCCTTGTTGCCTGCTAGTGTAATTCTCAGCACAGGACCTAGGTCAGGCCACATGCCTTCTATTTAAAATCATCTGATAAATTCCCCATCTCACTGAGAGGAAAAGCTCAAGTCCTCATAGCCCAAGCCTGGGGTACTAGTTGCACGGCAAATGACCCTGCTCATTCTAACCTCATCTCCTGTTAATTCCCCTCCCCCCCCTCGTTCACTCTGGTCCAGCCTCACCAGCCTCCCTGCTATTCCTCAAGCTTTCCAGGCACATTTCTGACTGTTTTGTCCTATCTGTTCCCTCTGTCTAGAATGTTCTTTCCCCAGGTATCTGTTTGGCTATCTTGAACTCCTTTACATCCTTTCTTAAATCTCACCTTCTCAAAGAAGTCTTCCCTGACCACCTTGTTAAATACTGCAAATCTCAAGTCCCAAAACTGTCCCCCTCACCAGCCATTTCTCACCAGATAACTATAAAGAAAGACTGTACTAAATGATATAATTCTTTATTTTGTAGTCCTTGCAAAGGAGCTGAAAATGTATATACTGCATATTATATGCCTAAAAGAAAAAACTCCTGAAAAAACACACACAATTTGATTAAATTGTTTTTCTAAAATCATAGACGTATTGATCATAAGAGCCAATAAATTCTCCTATGGAGCACAAGCTAGTCTGAGTTGGTTTCTGTCACTTAAAATCAAAGGGATCAAGATTAATGCATCAATTTATGCTGGCCTGGAAAATTTGAAGAATATAAGTTAATTATTCAAATGGCCTTTGCTTGAGTTTATGTCCTCTAAAATACTAAAATTAAAATATTTATGTCTATCCAATGGCCATACTTCTGGCAATTTTTCTGAAAGAATTAATCTTAAAAGCAGATAACGGCTAATGCATAAAAATAGTTTGTTTGATGCATCATTCAGAATGGCTAAATATTAGAAATAAACTAAATATTTAGCACTGGAATACATATTTTCAAAAATACAAATGTAGTTTGTACCCCCAGGGATCACTGAAACCCCTTTGGGGGGGTTTCCAAGACGACAACCATTTTCATTGTAACATGGCATTATTTGCCTTTCTCACTGTGTTGACACTGGCACAGATGTGCAAAAGTCATGGGGGTAAGACTGCTAGGGCCTTAGTACAAACCACAGCAATGACACCAAAATATGTGAGTCGTCATGTATTGTTTACTACTGCACACTCCCAGCTATGTTTTCAAACTAGTTTTACTTAAGGACACTTGAAACAAACAAACAAAAATAATAATTTTAATAAATCTCGACCCTTGAAATCGTGTCATTTTATAATGTTCTCTGTTCTGTGTTAACAAAATGAAAATAATGCATAAAGCATGTCTGCTGCCTCCTGAGTGGGAATCCAAGTACTCGTGCACTTGTTTGAGTTACAAGCTCAACTAGCCACTTTTTATTTGATGGAATTCCATCTGTTCTTTAAAGAATGGCTACCTAAAAACTATAGCTATTCAGGCTTGTATAATTGGCAGGCATTTTTCTGTAAAAAAGAAAAAAATGAGTTTGTTGCTCTTATGATGATTATAACTGATTGTGTTTGTAGCACATAATAAAATTCAAAGTTTCAAGCAAAAAAAAAAGGGAAGAATTTTGTTGCAGCTGGAGTCTAAAATAACACACTTTTAGGACTTTTTAGGGAAAAAAATGTTTTAAAATTATCGGTCAGACAACTAGATAATCAGGGCAATAATGTGTTTTGTTTTTTTCTAGGGTAATATTAAGAACACATGTCTGGAACACCAAGCTAGAAATTCAAATGAAAGGAAAGCTATATGGACCAGAGACCTTCTGAAGAAGTGGTAGTAAACAAAACAAAACAAAGTACAAGAGACCTGGCTGAGTAGCTCAGTTGGTCAGAGCATTGTCCTGATGCAGGTTTGATCTCCCGTCAGGGCACATACAAGAACAATCAATGAATGCATAAGTAAGTGGAGCAACAAAATACTCTCTCTCTCTCTCTCTCTCTCTCTCTCTCTCTCTCTCAAATCAATCAATAAATAAATATTTGAAAATTTTTAAAATACCACACAGGACATCTAATGCAATCTATTGTCCCTCCGTCTTTATAACCGAGGAATATAACTGTCTTATGCTAAATATGCAGATTACTAGAACCCACTCCTAATTGTTGAAATGGCTGTGCTACGTGATGGTGAGCTGAGTGGGGACAGAGAGGAGACCAGCCTTACCTTTGACTGTCACGTGGACACTCTGGCTGGTGGAGAGTTGTGGCTGCACCAGCACGTTGCATGTGTACTCTCCCTCGTCAATCTCCTTCTGCACATCCGAGAGTTTCAGAGTCCCATTGTTCTCAAACGCCACTTGGCGATGGTTAAAAGGAAGCAGATCAGAGTTCTTATACCACTTGATGGAGTAATACGGATAGCCAATCACACGGCAGTGAATGTATGTGTCCCGACCCGCGATCGCGGTGATGTTTTTCATTGGTCGAATACTTGCAGGCCCTAGAGAGACACAAAAAAACTCTTGAAAATAATTGAAGGGTACATCTTACGTGCGGATACGGGGACACTTTTCCTTGGGTTAAAAATGTAGCTTATTTTCCTGTAAGGACATCTTTTTCAATTAATTTTTCTGCATTGGTCATTTTCTCTAAGATGGTTTCATTTCCTTTTAGTTTCGTGACTTCCAAATGAACTGAATGAGTGTGATATGCTTTAACTATCAACTACTTCGATTAAAGCGTTTTGAATGATATGACAGAAGGCAATTTAACCAATAAAAACTAGTCTGCACTGAACAAGCCTGCTCCTTCTGCGACTCAATGGCTTAACTCTCTCTACAGATGATGAAGATGGAGGTTATGCCACTTTGCACCGAGTGTAAGTTAACGCCATGTCCGTGAAGGTTTACCATGAGCGTCGTAGAACAGCAGAAGAGGAGGAAGGAGAGCATGCAGAGCACAAACCAGGAAAGAACAGGTCATGTGAACACGTCGAAGAGTAAAACAGGGGAACAAGTGACTAAAGAAACCAAAATGCGATTCCCAACATTATCTGGGCCAGGGCCATTCCTGACCGGGAAGGAAAGAGTAGGAGACGGGAGGGGCCCGCTACTCCGTTTCGGCATTCCAGGACCCAGCGTGGCGCATGCAGAGACCTTCTTCTCCGCTACCATGACTTATATGTGTGTTTTTTTTTGAGGAGCTGATTTGACAAGCACCTCTTACGTTTATTCGCGCCTGGTACAGGACGACGCCGGCCGAGTTGTTGGCGGTGCAGCGGTAGACTCCCCCGTCTCGGACCTGAGAGCTGGAGATGTTCAGGTAGCTGACCACGTTCCCCTCCGACGTGATCATCTGGCTGATGCGGTGACTGCCCCCCTTGAGAATTGGGTCATCGTCGAGGGTCCACGTGATCGTGGGCAGCGGCGTGCCCTTCACGTTGCACATGAGGGAGACGGGTTCCGCTGGACTCACCACTTTCTCGCTGAAGGCAGAAATAATTTTGGGAGTTCCATCTGCAGGAAGACAAATCATGGAAGCAAGTGGCACATACCGATAATGAAGCAACTTCCAAGTACGACTATTTCATGGTTGGGAAGCAGAGGTGGTGGTTATTAACACTACAAAAAAACTCTGGTTTTACTGATAAAACTAGATTCCAATCAGAACTAGAGTTCACTTTCAAAATAGGTCAGCGCAGCATTAGCAAGCTTTAATAAATCACTTATATATTTCCTAACTTTCATAAGAAGAAGAATGATGACACAACCCAGGTATTCATGTTAAACAATATCAGCTCCCTAGAAGTCTACAATTCAAAACTGGATGTGTCCACCCAAAGCCATAGCATAGAGGAAATCTATAACCCCAAACCCTCACTGTAGCTTCCCACTTCTGCCCAGTTAATTGGGGTTAGCTCAACAGGAGTTAGAGGAATAAAAGAAAGAGAGAGAGAGAGACTGATGATCTCATCTTCATTTTCTCATACAAAATAATCTTTTATAGTTTTAATGACAAATAATAAGTGCACGTAAATTTCCATGAAGGCCCTGTTAATGGGTAGAAACTAAATAAAGTCGGACCCTTCTGGCATCTATTAAATATCTCTGTAAGTATCTCAAGTGAGGTGGCCATATAATTTATCATCCAGCCTGGGACACTTTTGAGAATGTAATGGGTACTATGGACAATTATGCTAGGAGAACAGGCACAACCCAAGACTGTCCCCCACAAACTAGGAGCTTAACCCTAGGGAAGTTTCCAAGGGAATATCCCATATTTTCAACAAAGACCCAATTTTCATATTCCATTATTTTTCTATTACATATAAGGACTAATTACCACATATTGTATTATTATATGGTAGTAATCACAGATGCCTGTTATTATTTTATATGGCTCTCCATAGAAAAAGAGAGAGAGACATGCATATTAAAGAGAAATGTATAAGTCAAAAGTTACCAGGAGGCCTGCCAGCCTCAGGCACATAAATCAACATGGTGACACTATTTTTCTAGGCAGAAATAGGTCACTTTGACATAATTGTGACCACATGAAACAGGATTTCTGAGTCTAGTAATAAACCTTGCTGGAGGAAATTTTTAAAAATTGTGTTCATTTTAAGGGTTTACCTATAATGGAAGATGATCATTAACAAACATTATTTTTTAATTTTTATTTTAAAAGTTTTATTTATATAGGGTGTCCCAAAATTCACGCAAGCTTTGCAATTGAATTGAATTGCAAATCTTGCGTGAATTTTGGGACACCCTACATATATTAATTATTAAAAAATATAAGCAAAACAAATGTGGGAAACAAAACTGAAGATAGTTTTAAATTCCGTCACAGAAAAAGAACTGTTAACGTTTTCAAAACCTCCAGAAGAAAGAGATACCCATCACCCAAACCTTGCAGCCTACTTCTGTGGCCAGCTGGGCCAGCTGTGTACGGTTCCGGGTTCTCACTGGGGGAGCTGCACCAGGTGCTTCCCGGTAGCCCTCTACCATCTTTTCATTTGCAAATTCCTGAATCTCAACTTCATTCCAATTCATGCCTTGGGCGGCTGGAGAAGGCCTTTGAGGATCTGGGCATTTCCCAGATGTATTCATACATAGCCTATTTCAGTGTCCTTGGATTGCAAACTTCTTACTTTAACTGTGCAAGGTGAAAACAAGAACTTCCGGATATTAAAATGAAGGGCCTGGGAACAGTGCAGACACCGCCCCAACATGCTCTGCATTTAATTGACAGAGAAGTTAGACGTCATTCTGTTTGTTATCTCCCTACACAACAGGCTCTTGGGAGCGTTGACATTATCTTATTTGACCTTCCAATTCAACGGAGGTTTTTAGGATGTATTTAGCTGAAAATGTCTTTGCAGGGACTATAAAATGTTTTATTTCTCTTTGACTTTCATCTACTTTACTCTGATGTACCTGCATGTGGTATTCTTTGTATTTGTTCTTCTTGGGGTTTGCTAAGTTTCTTAGATCTGTAATGGTATTTTCTTACACCAGATTTCTGGAAATGATGGCCATTATTTCTTCAAATATTTTCTTCCTCATTTTCTGACTTCTATTTTTCTTTGCCTATAATTATATATGTCCCACATGTCACTGAGGCTCTGCAAATTTCATTTGGAGTCCTCTTTTTCTATGTGACTCAGATTAGATAATTAATTTTACTCTATCTCCAATCTCACTCATCCTTTCTTCTTGCTTCTGCAATTTTCCATTAAAGCCAACACAGTGAATTTTTTCATTCCTTTTTTGTTTCATTTTATAGTTTCCATTTCTCTGCTGGTCTTTCCCATATGTCCATTCATTATGCTCAAATTTTCCTTTAAGTTATTGAACACATTTTATTTATTTTTTTAAAATATATTTTATTGATTTTTTTACAGAGAGGAAGGGAGAGGGATAGAGAGTTAGAAACATCGATGAGAGAGAAACATCGATCAGCTGCCTCCTGCACATCCCCCACTGGGGATATGCCCGCAACCAAGGTACATGCCCTTGACTGGAATCGAACCTGGGACCCTTTAGTCCCTAGGCCGATGCTCTATCCACTGAGCCAAACCGGTCAGGGCTATTGAACACATTTTAAATAGCTTTAGAGTACTGGTCTGCTAATTTTAATACCTGGATCTTCTCAGGGTCTGTTTCTATTCCCTATTTTGTCTTTTGACCTCTGGCCCCAGTATCCTATTTTTTTGTTTGTTTGCTTGCTTTGGACATCTAGTTATTTTTATGGTATACTTGGATTCTCCTTCAAATTTTTGCAGTTCAGGTGCCAAGCAAGTTTTTCAAGGAAGTTTATTTTCATATTTTAAGACTCACTACTGTTATTTCCTCCTTCTTGGACTCTCCACTCGCCTCCCTCAATTTGCAGGTGATTCAACAGCCCAGACCTCTGTCCTTCTATACCTCAATCCCACAAGACTGGTGAATATCTTCAGAGGAAATGGGGTATCAATGTAGATGTCACTTAATCTTTTCACTTCTTTTGAGGGCCACATTCTTTCCACCTACCTTTAGATATATCTTTAGTGTCTGCATATAGTTTTGCTTGTCCCAAAGTTCATAATTTCTACCTTCTTACAGGTTAGTTAGTCTGATACATGGTATTCTATCATCTCCAGAAATAAGACCTGTTCTCATTCTCTTTTTTTTGTTGTTGTTATTCCATTTTTCCAGTCATTCTGGTTTGATCTTGGCCGTATAAATATTAGATTCCAGTTATGTTAGATTTCCATGCCAGTTTCTTTGGCCTCATAGAAAATACTCTCTAAGTCTGCATGACATCCATGGCCCTTCTTAGTTCAGGGTACTGCGAGATTTTACATTTATGTGAATCCACAGCTATTTCATTGATAATAATAGGAGCTTATATCTGAGGATACTAGTTAGACGCCGTTTTAAGGCAGACACTGGATATGCACTTGTGGTTCCCTCTCTCTCTCTCTCCTTCTCTACATTAGCACGGCCATCTCTCAGAAGAGAAAAAATAACATGACGCTTCTGGCCCTGAATGGAAGCTGACATGCGGCACATACACCCGTGAGGATGCTCCGTGTGCTCCTCTCTTCCTTTTTATCCGAGTGACAGGCTTTTTGGAGATGAAAGCCGACATTAATTTCCCAGTGAGACCTGAGTGCCTTTGAAATCTTTCTGGCTGTCACTCTGTGATAACCTGAACCCTTTCGACATCATTATGGATTATCAATATGCTCTTTGGGTTTTCTTAGGCTCGCAGAGGGTTGCCACGGTAACTGGGCCTCGAAAGGTAACCGCTGCCTTTTCTACAAAGAATCTAAAAATAGTGACTGTGTAAGAACCACAGTGCAGCATCATTAAGCATCCAGCTCTGTGCTCACTGATTACTTTCTGCACTTAATTATCCTGTGGAACACTGTCAGGCCTTTCACCTGAGCAGCGTGCCTTCAGCTCGTTTCATCTCTGCTTTAAAAATCTCCTTGTCCTCAAGTAAACGCTTAAATCAAAATAAGAATGTCATTCTAAGCCTGTTTCTTCCTACAAACTGACTAAGGTTAAAAAAGAAATTATAGAAAGACTCTGTTAGCCCCAAGACATATTTAAACTTTTTTTCATACATAAATGTTTGTCTCCCTTTAGGATACATGAAAGTCATGTAGCTATTTTATTAATTGAACACAGATACGTTTTAAATGATATATAAAGGCCTAGTTTTCAACAAGACACACACAAATACAGATAAAAGCTAGCTCAGTTATCTGGTGATAAACACATGTCTCCTTGAACATTACTTTAATAGCTCCTTTCCTGGCAGATAGATAAGCTTGAAGATGCAAGGAGGCAGAAGGCAGTTAAATAAAACAACAACAATGAAACATTCCTAAAACCTGTTATCATACCACCAGGGAATTCCTGACATTCCATTCACCTAGATCTTTGGATATTTGGACACCACCACCCCACCAGGGACAGCCCTATGAACCGGACGCCATTTTGCTCTCCATCAAGCACAACACTGAAATAGTGCCCTGCATTTTGCCACTAAAGTTGTGCTTCTCAATGGGGCTACTTTGCACCCCAAGGAGACACCTGACATCCTTGGCTGTCACAGTTGGTAGAAGGGTGCTACTAGCATCTGGTGGGTAGAGGCCAGAGGTGTGGCTAAAATCCTACAGCCTTCCTGGGAAACCCTGGCCTAGCAGGGGTGGGGAACGTCTGGCCCGCGGGCCGTATAAGGTCCGTAAAATCATTTGGTCTGGCCCTGCCAAGGCATTAGGGGTGAGTTAATTAAACGTTTGACCAAATGTAGCAGGCTAATTTATAAGCTGACAATTTTGTATGGCTCTCGAATGATGTTCTAAATATCCAAATGGCCCTTGGCAGGAAAAGGTTCCCCCTCCCTAGAGCAGCGGTTCTCAACCTGTGGGTCGCGACCCCTTTGGCGGTCGAACGACCCTTTCACAGGGGTCGCCTAAGACCATCCTGCATATCAGATATTTACATTATGATTCATAACAGTAGCAACATTACAGTTATGAAGTAGCAATGAAAATAATTTTATGGTTGGGTCACAACATGAGGAACTGTATTTAAAGGGCCAGAAGGTTGAGGACCACTGCCCTAGAGGATGCTGAAGTGTCAAGTAAACTGTAAGTTTCAAAGTTTCAGAGACAACTTTTAACATGAGAGTGGGCAGCGTTCATGTTCATTGACTTCATGTTAAATTACATTCCTTATGTGCCTTCTACCGTGCACGATTTTTATTTCCTCAGAACCTATCCTTTTACTTGCTTGATTTATCTTGGAAAATCGGATAGATAGAAAGGTATAGATGGGAATAAAGGTCAGAGAGGTAAAGAAAGGTGCAAACTGGGAGCTAGCAGCACTGGGCCACCCCGGGGCCTTCCTTGGGAGTGCTCTGGGGCCGGGCTCTTTGCAGCCGAACCCGTACCGAGGCCCACTGACCTTCAAGGACCACCTGCACAAAGTCTTGAGCGGACAGCTTGTCCTCGCGCACAAAGCACTGGTACGCGCCCCCGTCACTTTTGACCATGTGATCCATGATAAGGTTTTCGTGGTTGATCCCTGTGATCCTCACATTTTTCCCAGGGTTGAGGATTTCACCGTTTCGGTACCAGGAGAGCTCCTGGTCCTCACTTGCGGTCACGCTGCAGGACAAGGCCACCTGGCTACCCACGCTGCTCTTCACCTTCCTGGGGCTGATGGTGGCTTTCAGTGGCTCTGAAGGATGGGGGCAGAGAGAAGGAAGGAGGTGAAAATATCACACATGCACAGAGCATTGCAACAGCATGCGGGGCTCTTGGCAAGGCAGGCGTGTCATGGCAAGCACACTCCCTCCATTCTTTTTTGTTTCTGATTTTTAAAAAATTCTTTATTGTTGAAGTATTACATATGTTCCTTCCCCCCCTCCCCCGCTCCCCACTGACCTTTGTGTCAGGGTACAGCATTGTGGCTGCAAAATCCCCTGTGCTGCTGTTCTCTATTATTATTATTATTATTATAGTTAATAACACTTACTTTTTAAAATTTCTTTATTAATTAAGGTAGTACATATGTGTCCTTATTCCCCCATTACCCTCTCCCCATCCTCCCCCCCACTCATGCCCTCGCCTCTTTATTATTTTTTCTTATTTTTTTTTAACTTCTCTCTCTAGGTAGCAAATAGACTAATGTTGGTCAAATTGCTTTTTCACTGAATATGTATGAGTATTAGCCAACTGACAATAAGAAATGTGATGCGCTGGTTACTAGGAAGGACAGAAATATTTGAATATTTAAATCCTATTGGCCTTGTCTCAAGGAGGCAGGATGGGTTTGCTCTGGGCCATTGTCACACACATATATACTCACTCACATCCCTTATGTGGCCTAACCAGGGCCAATGCCAGCTACAAGGAGACAGGCTGACATTAGCATTTGTGACCATGAAACAGGTTTTTGTTTGTCTGTCTGTTTAAAATGAGGCTAACTGGCTTGGACAGGGTTGGAAATCTCAATCTTGATGTCCTACATTTTCATTCAACAAACCCAATTCGAGCTAGCAAGCATTTATTGAACATCTGTATACCAAGGATGGGATTAAAGTCACAGGTGAGGCAAAGATGAATAATGCTTGCAGTACAACTCGCATGTGCCATAAAGGTAGCAAACAGCTTTTGTATGATATTTAAGTCAGGCTCCCCACTATCCTACAAGTCTTTTTGTTGTTGTTTTTTTGTTTTTTAAATCTCCACTTTGCAGAAGAGGAAATTGCTGTAGACCAATTCTAGCATGACAGCAGGGCTGCATCTGGGCATGGCTAAAGGCATTTCCCCAAACCTGAATAGGATACATTAAATTGACTGTGGCTGCCAGACAGCTCAGGGCATCTTAATCTACCTGTTATTGCCTCCTACTGGCCAAACACCTGAACAGCCGTAGGCTAATTCCCCCATTCTGACAATGGACTCTGTACCAAACCCTGACCCTTTGAAGTGTATATCTCTGCCTCTCCTCAGGACAAGCTGTGTTAATAAAAAGCATGGGGTCCTCGGGACTAAGAGAGAACCTAAGACCTTAGACTTAAGATCTTAGAACTTAGCTCCTTTAGCTAAGCTCCTCTGACCTCCAATGCCTTTCAAAATTATATTTCATCTCCGGACTCTTTATTAGTCTCTGGATTCCTAGGTCATCTACGCACAGCCCCTTCCCCAGATTCCCGAAGCCTTCTTGATGCTGGGACAAGAACCCCGGCAGGAAATGGCTACTCAAAAAAAGTTAATTAACCAAATCCACTCAACAAGTAAATGGCAAAAACAAAACAAAACAGTTTTTAACCCCAGTTACTCCTACTGCTCGATTTTCTCCATGCTGTGTCGTCTTTGGTTCCAAGAAGTTTAGGCTTCTAGGTGGATTAGACAAATACAAGAATGAATATAGTAACCAAAATCGTGTATTAGAGACATATAATACGTGGCGGAGGGTCAACAGAAGGTCCTGAGATATCAGCATGGACAGAGCTGAGGCAGAGGCATCGCGGAGACTGGGACTCGCCTGAATTAGGGCGGGAAGCACAGCGGGTCCTCGGGAAGGGTCTCAGAGTCTGAATGCAGCCCAAGGTCTCTGAAGGGGAATCACGGGAGAAAAATGACAAGGGCATCCGGGACAAGATGGCAAAGAGCCTCCAGATTTGGGAATTAAACCAGAGGGAACTAAAGAAAGCTTCCTAGAATTTTCAGCAAGTGAGTGCTACAGTCTGACACATTTTTTAGGAGAAATGATTCATTCTATTGTGATGGACAAGCGAGAGTGGAAAACTGGTCAGAAAAGAGGCATCGCAAATGCTCGGCTGAGGCACGGCGAGGGCTGGCTCTGAGCTGGGGCAGAGGCGGAGAAGGTGGAGAACACAGCTGAGAAATGCTGAGAGACAGTCTCTAGGACTTGGCAGGACTTGGCCAGAGAAAGAAAAGCCTTAAAGAGGACCAAGGGCTTAAAGTTCACAGTGGAAGGTGACTTAAGGGGGAAGACATCTGGAATAACAAGGGGACCCCTTTACAAGGTAGAGATGGTGGCAAGTTTGGTTTGGGACAGTGATCTGTGGAAGTGCCAGCTAAACATCTGCTATGGGATTGGGAGACACGCTCCACTGACCCTCAAAAAGGAAGCAGAGGCTAAACCTTTACACTCGGCTATTTCCAATTCCTCAGGGAGGAATTGGAAGCCATGAGGGTAAAAGGGAGCAGTAAAGGAAGAGAAGAGATCGAATAGAGAGGGGCTCTGATTTGGAAGCAAGAGAAAAAGAAATTACAGAAATAGTTCTATAGGCCATGCTTTTTGTTAAGAGGAGAGAAAAACAAAGGAGAAGTCAGAAGGGAGGGTGGGAACATTCAAGAGGCATTTGAGAACCTGTCCAAATGTGGCTGAAGAGTACAATGATGAAAACATACACTCCGAATGAAGACTTTATAATTTTTAAAATGTACACAGTGATCAATGCCTTTACAGAGAAAGCAATGCAATACTCGGAGTTGAACAGAAGATTGGGGGGTGGGCAGGGAATATCTTTGGGAAAGGACAATGCATTGAACTTAGATGGGAAGTCTTAGACATTCAAGTATTTGAAACCCATCTTCGATGCGGAGGGAGCAACATGACTTGCAATGGGAAAGGAATGGGTTTGTACAGGGGAGAGGAAGAAGATGTAGCAGGTGTATATTTTTTGAAAAAAAAAAAAGAACTATGGGAAATATGGCAGGTTCACTTGAGATGCTTTAGATCAGCGGTCACCAACCAGTGGTCCGTGAGGTCCAAAAGGTTGGTGATCGATGCTTTAGATAATCTCCTAAGATATAAGCTTTATTCAACAGAAAATAGAAAGCCATAAAACATGTTAGGACACAGAGGAGACTTTGAGCCAGTGGGAATAACTCTTACTAGATGTTCAATGCTTCATTATTTCACGCACAAGTTTCTTCAGCAACAGAAATATAACTGTGCAGTTACTAGTATGTAACTTCCATTTCTTTCTACTCCCAGCCTAAGCAAGTGTGAGTGGTATCTGCAGGACTCACTCTAGGCTGCCAGTTCCAGACAGTCACTGGGGTGTTTAAATAGATCGTCTTGGGCTGGGATTGGGCTAAAGCGGTCTACACGCAGGGTGACACCAAAGAGGCGCTTCCATAACTAGGCATGGGGCTGGGGGAAAGCCAAGGCAAGACAATGCCTCCCTTTCAGTGTCAGACTCTAGTGATTCGGTTTGTTCAGTTCAGTCCATCGAATTAGACATATGTAATGCTATATATTGGCAACTGTGCTGACTGAAGTCCTGCAGCTCCATGCCATGCTGGGTATCTCATTTTGAGTTGGTTTCCATGGGAGTAAAACTGAAGGTGTTTACTAGATTGGAGTGCTTCCCCCTGTGATCACACCCCCCTTTCCTCCGAGTCTGCCTTCAGCACCCCTCTCCACACGGTCCTCAACAGTCCCCATCAATCAACTGGAGGTTAAATAGATCCACATCCTTGGACTAAATGATCTATAATAATGTGTCCAAGTCCACTATTTGAACAGTTTACAGCCTGGTATTTCTGCTGATTGGAGCCCCACTTAGAAATTTAAAGAAGCATCTGAAACAGGCCGAGGACAAGCACTTTGATCTGACTGTGTGACAGCCCAATCCTGCCCCGGTCCCACTGATTTTCACTGAGACTAGCTGCTCTTCATTCAACAGCTGGGCAATATTATCTTGGAGATGTAACCTGGGGCCTGATGGAAATCTTGGAATTTGGGGAGTGGGAATCAGACAGACCTGAATTCAGTCCTAAGCTCCAAACTCTCCAGCTGTGTGTGTAACCCTTGAACAATTTGAGCATCAATATCCTCATCTGCAAAATGGGGCCAATAACGGTCTCAGCAGGACCGCTGTGAAGATCGATGGGATGCTACAGAGAAAGCCCGGGGGTCAGCCTGTCACAAGAGCCCCACCAGCCAACTTCACCATCACAAGTTACCGTCCAACTTACGTTTCACGTACAGGCGGCCTATCACCTTAGCAGTTCCATATCTGTTGGATACTTCACACACATAGCTGCCTGAGTCTGAGGGGCGAGTATTCTCAATGAGTAGCCCCGTCACGGTCTTCTGGAACCTTCCAGAAAGTTCCAGGGGCATGTTGTCTTTCAGCCAGCGGTAATCTGGCTCAGGGTGCCCAAGCGCTTTGCAAGGCAGCTCCACATGCTGCCCTGACATGGCTTTGCGGTGATCAAACCCATCCAGTATGGACGGGGCTGAGTTCGCGGGGTCTGCAGAAGGAAGAAAAACTCTTAGATATAGTGAAGGAGGAGCAGAAGTGAGCATTAGCATCACAGAACCCCCTGCATAGTTGAAATTCTATACGTCATACCAATTATATACATTTCTTCTGCTCAGAATTTGTAAAAGTCTGAAGCAGAAAAGGTACTAAATCAGGGGTGGGCAAACTTTTTGACTCGAGGGCCACAATGGGTTCTTAAACTGGACCGGAGGGCCGGAACAAAAGCATGGATGGAGTGTTTGTGTGAACTAATATAAATTCAAAGTAAACATCATTACATAAAAGGGTACGGTCTTTTTTTTTTTTTTTTTTTAGTTTTATTCATTTCAAACGGGCCGGATCAGGCTCGCGGGCCGTAGTTTGCCCACGGCTGTACTAAATACTAAGAACTTTGGAATCAGCATGCTTCAACAGGAGTGGCCAAGAATTGGATCTTCTTGTAACCAGTGAATGTCCGACTTCCCCTTTCAAGAGAGTGACAGTAACATAAATAGTTGTTTAATATTAGTAAACTTTATGTCACAAAAGGAGTTTTACCCAGAACTATTACATCTGGAGGTGTTGCATTTATTTATTTCACAAATATTGTTTGAACCCCACGTCGGGAACCAGCCCAGCGTTAGGCATTGAAGACACAGGCAAGGTGACAAAGACAGGCAAGGATACCCTCACACAGCTGACATTCTAGCTGGGCCAGTGTGTGTGAGGCAGCAGGAAACGTACTAGTAAACAAAGACATAAAGATAATTCAGCCCGTGTAAGTGCAAAGAAGGGACGAAATGGGATGGTGGAGTGAGTGCAGTGAATGTGTTCCGGGTGGGGAGTGAGGAGGCCTTAGGAGTGGGCAATCTTTCTGAAAAGATGATGTCTGAGGTGAGATAAAGGAATGAAGACAATCAAGAGTTGGCAAAAACTGAATGGTTAACACAAAAGGAGAAGTTTCCATATTATTAATTATAATATTGCCCTGTTATTAAAAACTTATAAGCAGTGCATGATTAGCTATTCTACCCAATGATGTTTGGCCCACATTACATTCTTGAGCCAAATAAGGAAAAGAATGCCGTGTTCTCAAGATCTGGGAAAGCTGAGTGTCCAAGCTTGCTTTGAGGAAGTAATGGTCTCAGGGATTACACCAAGAGTGTGAAAACAGAGATTGCCGGCTGGTTCGATGTTAGAAATAAAACTCAGTGACCTTGACTTGCCCTCTCTTCTAATTCTTCCTGTTCAGAACAGCAGGAGGGCTACACTGGATCCCACAAGGACATTACAAAAGTGATGTGGAGTCCTGACCCTGCCTTTTCTTCGCTACGGCTGTCTTGGTCCACCTTCAGTAAACCCAAAGCAAAGGCCTGGATCCTCTCTCTTACCCAGGCAGAACCATCTAGAAAGATCTTTAAAATGCTGTGATTCTGAAGTCAGCCACCGGGGGCAGACAGCAAGTATGGATGAAAACAACAAGAGCATTCAGCTGGAATTTCCGGAGCTTTCCCTGGTAATCACAGAGGTAGAGATGTTTGACAAACCTGCAGCTCTATTCACTTCTCTAGTCCCTTAGGAGAACAGTGTGAATGTTCTCATGGGATATGATGAGGGGACCTAGATCACCTCCACAGGAATCTGTGATGGAGTCTCCAGGACTCTTCTGAAGTTCCATCCTTCCTTAACTGAAGGATTCTGTATTAAATAATTACATTCACGCACATGTTAGACTGTGGCGTTCAGAGGGATTACAAACATAAAGAGCCACAATGTCAGACATGGGGCCTTTGTCAGCCTGGACCATAGGGCTTCATTCCACTTTCTGGAGGAAATTACATACAACTTCAAAAAGTGTTGTTTTGACTGGCCAGTGTGGTTCAGTGGTTGAGCATCGACCCATGAACCAAGAGGTCACAGGTTCAATTCCTGGTCAGGGCACAAGCCCAGGGTTACAGGCTTGATCCCTAGTAGGGGGTGTGCAGGAGGCAGCCAATAGATGACTCTCATCAATGTTTCTATCTCTCTATCCCTCTCTTTCCTCTCTCTCTCTCAAAATCAATAAAAAAACATATTTTTTAAAGTGTTATTTTGAAGGACAAGTTAGCTTCTTATTAATTAAGTAGTTATAAAATCTGTCATTTTTCTTAAGATAGGAGGTGGGATTAGGATAGGAGAAGGTGATACAAGCAAATTGTCACCCTCCTTTGGTGATATAGCTAATAAAAACTTTTTGCAGGACAAGCCTACAATCTCAGGAAACAAAAGGTTCTCACTTCCAATGCTAGCCATAAAAAAACAATGCCCAAGACTGCACTTTAAACATGTTAATTCTGTGGAAAACTAATTATTGATAGAAATTTCTCAAATATGTTCAAGATATGCTGCATAATTCAAATGACTTTTTACAAAGATTAGTTGGGATAACTGGATATCCATATTAAAAAGAACTTTGAGCCTTAGCTCACATCACTTACAAATATTAACTCAAAACGTATCATAGATCTAACTGTAAGATCTAAAACTATAAAACTTTTAGAAGAAAAGTTTAGGAAAAAATCTTCATGACCTTGAATTTATGAAGTTTTTAGACACAACACCACAAATAATGAGCATAAGCAACAAAAAATGAGTATATTAAACTTCTTAAAAATCAATTTACACTTTCAAAGAGAAGCAACATACTGGAAAAACATATTTTCATATTATGTTTCTGATAAAAGACATATCCAAAAAGTACAAAGAACCCTTACAACTTTAGAATAAGATGAAACAATATAATTTTAAAAATGGGCAGTATATTTGATTAGATATATCACCAAAGAAGATATAAAAATGACTGAGAAACACATAGGAAATGCTCAGTATCATTAGCCAGAAGGGAAATGCAAATTAAAACCACAGTGAATGCATGTCCATGAGGATGGTGACAATAAAAAACACAAACAAATAAGTGGGGATGTGGAAAAGAAAGCGGAGCCCTCGGACATTGCTGATGGGAGTGTAAACTGGGGCAGCCACTTTGGAAAACAGTTTGGCAGTTTCTTAAAATGTTAAAATTCAATTTACCATAAGGCCCTAAAGTTCCCTTCCTAGGTACCTACCCTAGACAAGTAAAAACCTACGTTCACTCAGTACACAGATGTTCATAGCATGCTTATTCATAACAGCTAAAATATGAAAATAATCTGGCAGTCCATCCTATAGTGAACAAACAAAATGTATATGTACACAACATGGAATACTACTCAGCAATAAAAAATAATTAATACTGATACATAGTATAATATGGATGAACCTCAAAAGATTACATTAAAGAAGCTTGATACATAGCCACATACTGCATGATTCAGTTTATCTAAAATATGCAGAAAATGCAGACCTGTAAAGACAGACAGTAGACAGTGCTTGCCTGGGGCAGGGGATGGGAAATGGAATTGACTAAAAGAGACAGCAGGGACCTTTTTGGATGATGGCGATGTTTTAAAATTAAATGACAGTGATAATTGCACAACTCTATACATTTGACTGAAATCACTGAATTGTATTCTTAAAATGGGCAGAGTTTAAAACTAGTAAATTAAATCTCAGTAACACTATTTTACAAAAAAGGAAGGTGCATTTCTGTTATATTTTAAGTAACATTTTAAGCATGCTTGCGACAGGCTTTCGCGGTGACATTTGGCCACACATAGAAGTAATACAACCAAACAACAGCACTGCATTTAAACGTCATCACTTAATCTTCAGTTTATTAACTATGTTTCTTTACAAAAAGATTTTCCTTATGTTACCACAATGCTAACATCACACGAGTGTATTAATAAATTCTTGGTATTATCCATTATGTACCCTATATTCATTTTTTCTTTATTTCCCACATTATGCTTTCTGTTATGTCTATTCTCTGATGCATTCCTTCTAATTTAATTTTCATTTTTTTCTAAATTATGCCATTTTTTTTGTTTCACAGATTCATGTTGCTTAGTCATTTTTAATGAACTCTTTATTCTGACTTACACTCCTCTTTCAAAGTATTAAATTATTCTCAAATAATAAGTTATAGTTTTCACATGATTTGTATGTAATTTTTACTTCTAATTGTCAAAACATGATTTGATTCATTTTCATCTTCTTGTAATAAATTTGTGGGAGGTTGAATCTTTTTTCCTTTGTTGCATGTGAAAATGAGACAGGGTTCTTCGTTAATTAGAAGAACCTTCCTGATGGGGAGGGAGACAGAAAGCTCTCCCAGCTTTTCCCTTTGGTGTCTCCACTAAAGAATTCAACACGTAGCCCTTTCTCAGAGCTATGCCTGCTCCGGGAGGCTCCCACCTTCGGTCATGTGCTTCCTACATCACTGCGCTACTTGCTTTCTGAGGCAGTACTCCACCTTGTCATGCTCTATTTTTCTTTTCTTTTTTTTTAAAAAAAATATATTTTATTGATTTTTTTACAAAGAGGAAGGGAGAGAGATAGAGGGTTAGAAACATCGAAAAGAGAGAAACATCGATCAGCTGCCTCCTGCACACCCCCTACTGGGGATGTGCCCGCAACCAAGGTACATGCCCTTGACCGGAATTGAACCTGGGACCCTTCAGTCCGCAGGCCAACGCTCTATCCACCAAGCCAAACCGGCTAGGGTTGTACTATTTTTCTTGCATAACATTATATATCAGGTAAGATAGAATTCCTATGGTCTCCATGCTACCCTAGCTTAGTCTCTCTGTTATGTTAGCATTCTCCCTGGCTGATTTGCTTTCTAATTCCAGCAGTTTCCCTCAGGGTGAGTATCTCTTCTTCGAAAGGAGTATTTTCTGAACACCTCCAGTATCTCTGCGGACCTAGACCACCACTGAGCTGTGTGATCACTGCCAGTTACGGCCTTTCCCACCCATTTTCAGTTCACAGTCCATGCCTGTCTATCTACCTGTTGGGATTGCTCTGAGACACACTTTCCCAGGTTTCCACGGAAAAGACTGTCCTCTGCTTTTCGAGAGGAGCATGTGTTGGTTATTTTGCAGTTCTGTGATTCCAACAGGCCTTCGCACCATCTAGTGCTTCTGTGATACTGCTGCTGCCCCTCACCCCGGCGGCCTGTTACTGTCAGCAGTTTGCCCACACCCACCCAAGAGTTTCTGGGCATTTCCATCACCTGGTTTTGTTGATGCCATCCATGTGTTTTTTCTTTTATCATTGGATTTATTCTGTTTTAATTTCAGTAGAAGTTTGGGCTCATTAAAAATATTGCTGTTCATATGTCCCCACCCTGACCATGTGTGCCCCATGTGTATATTTTAAAATAAATCTGATTTAAAATGAAATTCATTTATTTTTTCTTTCGAAGCTTAGAATTTTAGAAGGGTAATCTGCGCTCGCTATGTTCTCATTTTTTTTTAGCATTAACAATTTTCTTAACAGAGGCACCAAGACCTAATAACTATAACACAGGAGAAAGTAACAATTGACATGAAAAAGATAAGAAAAATACGTTCAAGTGCAGAGGAGAAATCACTTAATTCTGCCATCTTTTGGTGCTGTGCCTCAAAAAACAGGTGGGCTTTGGTTATCTGGGGGCAGGGGGAAGGGAGATCCAGATAGAGCATCCTCAGGGACAATCAGCGGGTGTCCAGGAGACAATGGTTTTAATGACCACCACCCCCAACATTGAGCAACTTTCCATCACTTCTCTCTCACAAAGCACCACTACAAACACAATTACTATAGTCACTGCGGGGACCAATTTTACATTCTATAGGGCAAAGGTCAGACATTTTGCATTCGATTTTCTAATGCTGAGATGGAGCTTTCACACGTCGGGCTTGCTCCAGGAAGTGCTAATTTGTTTGACAGATGGGCCAATAGCGAACCAAATGTGAAGATTATGCAAAAGACTGATGCTTTCTCAAAGGGCAACTCCCATCAAAGCGGGCACAAAACTGGCATATTTATCAGAGCGGAATCACTGCTCTCAGATTTCCTTCACATGAGAATAATCCTGGAGGGGAAGGGAGAGCATGAACATCCCTTTACCTTTAGACATGGTTCATTTCTCCAACATTGTAGCATCATTGTGGACCACAGGTGTGTTCCACGTGACCCTGCTCTTCTCCCTCAGCTCGGCGGGGTGGGAGGCATCGTGGTGGCGGCTGGCGTTGTCAGTGACAGGCCACACAAATGTGTATGGCAAGGAGGTGCTGTCTTCCAAAGAGAACTCATACTGCGCCAAAGGGATTTGGAATTTCACAATATATGAAATGACTTCATTGGAATATCTCTATTTGTGCTGCACTGTATTGGTATTGCTTTGTAAAGAAAACAGACCTTACGTTGATAAAATATTTGGGGGAAAAGCCTGAAGGCTTGATTTTAGTCATGAATTTCACCATGTGGGTGGTGACATCTCAGGACACCAGCAAAGAGAGAGCAGATATAGGGGGCGCTGAGCCTTTACCTGATACGAAGAGCCGGGCGCTGTTGCTCTGCCGGGTCTCCCCCGTGTACCTGTGGCGCGTGATGCAGCGGTAGTTATACAATCCGTCTTCGTTCTGTACATCTTTAATATACAAGGCTCCCGTGGATGTGATGAGAAATCTAGATCCTGAAAGAGAGGCGCAAACGCAGTCAGCGAGAGATTGTTTTCGCTTGAAGAAACCTCATGCAAAGGCTGATCATAGGTGTGCATGTTAATTGAAGGGTCCAAACCATTTCAAATGTTCAACAGCTTAAATGAGCAGTTTTTAGTATGTTACACAATAAGTATATACTTAGAAAATTTAATGCCATAAATTATTTTTTTAGGTCTAGGCAATGTATTTATATTATAGCAACAGAGTTGGCGTAAAATTGGTATGTGACAAATGTAGCAGATTTCCTTTGATCATCATTTTTCTCTTCACATGTGACAGATTAAGGGAGTATTAACTTTCTTTTGTAAAATTTCACCTCATGTAAGTATAAACGTTTGCCTCCGTTTGAAGTATTTCACGTACAAAAATAAAGCAATAAAATATCCTACAGCCCAGTTGGTGTGGCTCAGAGGTTGAGAGTTGACCAATGAACCAGCAGGTCAGGGTTTGATTCCTGATCAGGGCACATGCTCAGGTTGTGGGCTCGATCCCCAGTAGGGGGCGTGCAGGAGGCAACCAATCAATGATTCTCTCTCATCACTGATGTTTCTCTCTCATCACTGATGTATCTCTCTCTCCCCCTCTCCCTTCCTTTCTGAAATCAATAAAAATATACTTTAAAAAATATATCTGCCCTGGCTGGTTTGGCTCAGCGGATAGAGCGTTGGCCTGCGGACTCAAGGGTCCCAGGTTCAATTCCGGTCAGGGGCATGTACCTGGGTTGCGGGCACATCCCCAGTGGGGGGCGTGCAGGAGGCAGCTGAATCGATGTTTCTCTCTCATCGATGTTTCTGACTCGCTATCCCTCTCCCTCTCCCTTCCTCTCTGTAAAAAAATTAATAAAATATATTTAAAAAAATATATCTACAAACTTCCCAGGAAAGACTATCTGATTTCCCCATAACGATAACCAATACTTATGCTATAAGACAACAATCAGTTCCTCTTATAGTCTGTGTTGTAAAGCACTTTGCTATTTCTTTTTAAAGAATGTTATTGAATCTATTGGGGTAACATTGATTAATAAAATTAGATAGATTTCATGCTATTTCTTAATCATTACTGAAATAATTGGCAATAACTGCTTTCACCTCAGGGAGAAAAAGCCACACACAGCCATTGCTCCTTCACATCAGCATGAGACACGGTGTCTCCATATGACCCCTGATTTTTGTCACCGCACGGAACCTCATCTTCTCTCCTCTGACCTTTTCTCCTTCTTTCCTTTGATTCGAACTGGCCTCTTCCATCCTGGGAGCCCCTGACTCACCTGCCTCCGCCCCTGGCACGTGCACTCCCTTGATCATTAAGCCCCCAGGACAATCAGTGGCCTGCGCGCGTCAGATAATCTTAGGAACAAAGCCTGCGCCAGTGACCACAGAGTCAGATAACATCCAGGCTTGGATTGTGTTTGAGCTCCGGACCCGGGAAAACGAACTGACCCCACCAACCAAATCGATGTGACACCAGACAGAATGACTCCCTGGCTGACATCAGGACCAGATGCAATGACCACCACCCTCCACCCTAGCACCGAGCGCGACCCTAACCACGCCTGACTCCCCTGGCCACGTGATTAATGACCTTTCCCCGATATGGCCCATCCTCTGTGAGCCAGGTCTCTGAGGTCACCTGTGACTCTGGGCGTGGTGCCATTTCTTTAAAAACTAACCTTTACTTTTATGGCTGCAAACTCCTGTTCACGGTTGGTTGGGCTTTAATGCATGCAGGCCAACAAACCCTTTGGGTTTGCTAACAATACTGCCTGTACTACTCAAGCTGTACAGAAATGGCTAATGTTAAGAGATAAATGTCAGTGTTGCTTTAAGAAGAATGATGATGATTTTGTTTCTTTTGATAATGAAACTAATATTTACTGCTCAATTATAATTTGACTAGAGGCCCAGTGCACGACATTCGTGCATGGGTAGGGTCCCTCACGGCTGCTGGCCAGGGCCTCCCTTCCCCCGGCTACCTGTCGCCGCTGCCACCAGCCAGGGTGGGGCTGGCCAGGGGAGGGGCCACAGGCAGTTGGCCGGCTGGCCCTGCCCCCTGGTTGAACTCCTGGTCGAGGTCCCAGTGGAGGGGACAATTTCCATATTAGGCTTTTATTATATAGGATGATAAACGAAACAAAGGCAAAAGAATAAACCCCAAAGTGGGTTGTTACACCTACATGGTGGGTGACTCGCGACACTTTCTGCCACTGTTGTATTCTTCTATTGAGTATTTCTGCATCTGATGCAATTTTATCTCAAAGAGAATGATTTTTTTTTTGTCTGTTTGGGAAAAGACTAACATGCCCCAAATTCAACTTCATTTATTATTTGTTTTCCTTAGGTTCATTTGAAACATCCTTTGGTTTATTTTAATCAGAATTTACCAGGGATCTTGACTCCATTGATTTTAGGTCTTAAATATTTACATTGTGAACACAATTCCTACAGTTCTTGGTTGTTTCTTGTAAGGACTACACTTTTTTCATAGATCAGTTGCTAAAATAAAATAAAAAGGGTTTATGCTTTCTTATCGTATATAATAAAAGGGTAATATGCAAATTGTCCCCTTGACCTGGAGTTCGATCGGAGTTCCACCAGGGGGCGGGGCCAGCCCACCAACTGCCCACAGCCCCTCCCCCTGACCATCCCTGCCCCCGATTGGCCCCAATTGGGTTGGGCCAGCCAGACCCCACCCGTGCACAAATTTGTGCACCAGGCCTCTAGTGTAAGATAAGAGCAATTCAAAAGGAATTGGAAAAGAAAAAATCATAAGACAAATACTGATCTGGTGTAAGCCTTTTCAAAGGTTGCAAATTAAACAATGTATTAAATATTTTTAAATCGTAAATTCACTTTTTAAACAATTCCATGTAGTTGCTTATTCTAAAATATGCTATAAATACACTAACTAACAGAATAGCTGGAAAAGTGAATGCTGCACATTCGAGATATTTTTGCTTTATCCTCTCCTGAACGGAAGTAACTAGAAATACCTTTTACCACTTGTCATATGTCATCACACATCAAGCATTTCTTACCCGCATATGTTGTGTATAATTGAAACATTTTTTTCTCTTTCAATATATTTTGCATACTTATATAATGCTTTAACAACCAGTTCCTTTAAAGAAAAGAGGGATGCAAATATTAGGCATGCAATTTACGTCTCCTTTCTGATATGGAGGATTGTCATTAGAACTGACAAGCCGTCAGAAGCCGTCAGCACTGGCAGGTGTAGGTGGAAGCACTGTGCCCAGTGCCTCGGGAGAGCCGGGAGAGAGGGGCCGGCACGCATTCAGTCCCCCGCTGGCCCCCAGAGGGCTCTATTCTCTAGGCACATTTAACAATCACTCACTTTGCTCCTGTAATACGTCACTTTTTCTTGTTTTGTTAATCCTCACCCGAGGATATTTTTCCGCTGAGAGGTAGACACCAGACCTGCCAACGCTGTTAGAACTTTGCGTTAACTAAGAGTAAAGGGGTTATGAGTAAGTGCTAAAGTGGTTCTCCAACGTTCGTTGACATGAGCTTGTACGTTACAGCCACTAAAATAAACCCCCAGCTCGGTACCAGTTCAGCCAGTCTAGAGACATCAAACTCCCAATGAAAATAGGGTATTTACACAGTTAGGAATGTTGTAGGAACGCTGGGGCTGTGGGGAAGTCTACTAGGGTAGCCGCACTCCTCCGGCTGTTGTGGCACTGAGTGGTGGGGGACACGGAACGCCCACACCCCGTTTCCTCTCCTGCTCCTCTCAGCCCATTCTCCACTCAACACCATGGTCTCCTGCTCCTCTCAGCCCATTCTCCACTCAACATCATGGTCTCCTGCTTCTCTCAGCCCATTCTCCACTCAACATCATGGTCTCCTGCTCCTCTCAGCCCATTCTCCACTCAACATCATGGTCTCCTGCTCCTCTCAGCCCATTCTCCACTCAACATCATGGTCACTTAACACGATGAATCATTCAGATCATTTGGTGTCCACAGAGGGAGGCTACAAGTCATTTACGGTCGACTACATCTCCAAGAGATCTCTACTCTCCTTCTTCCACCATGCCCTGGCCACACGGTCCCCTTAATCACTTCACCCAGAGGGCCCTGACCCACATCTCTTCCTGGCTGGCTCCTTCCCATCATTCTGGCCTCATTTCTAAGTCAACTTTCAGCCCACATTGACTGCACTCATGGCCACTCAAGCTCAGAGCACTGGATTTTATACATCGATGTGAAGTTATCTATCTTGTGTGTGTGCGAGACTGGTTTCACCTTTCTCTCCTCCAACTAGAATATCAGGAACTTGATGTGTCTTGCTCAACTTTTTTTCTCCATTCCACAGAAAAGTGCGTGGCTGGGCTATCCGAAAATACTTGTTAAAGAGATGAGTGGATGAAACATCTATCATTGCTCCTATACAAAAAGTCTTGTCTTAAGTCTGGGTAAAAAAAAAAAAAAAGCAAGCTAAAATACCTCTTTTTAGGTTTCTGCATGAATCTTACTCATGTATAATACATAAAAAGAGTATTTTCCCCTCTTGGAATGACTATAATATATTCTTGTATAAAAAATGAGCATATTTAAAGATTTTGGTGTTAATTATTCTTCCATTATACTCCCTCCCTGTCTTTTTCCTACACAGCCAGGCTGTTTGATCTTCAATAGGGACAGTAATGTTTTCAGGAAGATTTTAAAAGCATATTTGATTTTTCACTTAGTCAGAAATATATCTCAGGGTTTTGTGGGGTTTTTTTTTTCCGCTTTTGCAATCTGAATCGAGCTACTAGTAATTAAAAGAACAAATGGTTCTTCTAATAAGACGCCAAATGGTAGCGCGACACCATGAAACTTTGATCAGCTGTGCCTGTCACCTCCAATTGACAGCCATACTGTGTGACGCAGCTGCGCCTTCTCCTCAGCAGGTGTCAGAACAGCCTCTACCATCGGAGGAGTACGAGATTCAGATCTCAGTTCCAAGCATACAACACCGGGCCTGAGACTCGTTTCTGAATGGATATCTTACATTTTTTCATCTGAAAATCAAATTAGCATGAATTAAAACAGAAGAGAAAATAGGAACGAAATATATAACCTATGATAACTTTAAAGTTACCGAGTTCTCTTAATTCCAATGTTAATTGGAACAGAATTGAGCTCACTGTTTGGTTCTGAGGTGTGTCTGCTCTGTGATGGGCTGGGTGGGTGTCGAGCCACGATTAGATGAAGGAGCTCCAACTATTTCTTGAGCAACTGAGCGGCCTGATATAAATGACTGCTTAAGGAAAATTATGTCGAAAGATGTATCTAAGAGAGGGAAGGCAGTAGGTCCTTAAGATAAGAGGTGTAACCTGGCATTCTGGATTGAATTTGGTCCCCTCCCAAATTCCTAAGTTGAATAACAACCCTTTCCTCTTCTGCACAATGGCCAATATTACCTTCCTGCACATACAGTGATGTGACCACAGAACGTGACCTTGTTCGGAAACGGGGTCATTGCAGATGAAATTTGTTCAGATGAGGTCCTACTGGAGGAGGGTGGGCCCTAATCCAATGGGATGGTTTTCCTTATAAAAAGCAGAAATTTGGACACAGAGACATCTGGCATCAACACTAACCCTAATCGGTGCCAATAGGTATTGCATGTCTACTGAGCCACCACTGCTCTCAACATCCTGTGCTCTGACCCCTTTAGCTCCCACGATGTCCCCCTGAGCCAGGTGCTGTAATTACTCCCATTTACAGAGGAGAAGAGTGAGGAACAGAGGGCAAGTGACTTGCCTGTGTTCACACAACTAGCAGGAGCCCAACCAGCACAGCACGATACCCTGGCGTTCTGGCTGCGAGCTCACACCCTCACCCACGGAGCTCCCTGGCTCTGGGTCAGGGCTGGAGTGTGAGACAGCAAGGCCGGGCCACGTGGGGGAACAGTGGTGTGGAACGGGAGCATTGCACACAGAAATGTTTAAGCTGAGGAATCAACAGACTTGGTTGGGGTGAAGCGTTTGATAGCCCAACAGGGCTGACAGCTCTCAGAACAGATACCTCGGGCCAGGGTGCCTGTTCTAGGAAAGACAGTCATTCCTGAGCAGGCTGGTCACCCAGAGGAGGTGAGGAAAGCCAAGCTGGAGGCAGAGTTTGGGGGACCTTTATGGGAACTGATGCCCAGGAGCCCCCAGAGGAGAGAGAGAGGGAAGAGGGCCAGCAAAAGACATAGCAAGACAGAGGGGACAGACACCAGGAGGGTGTGAAATTATGAAAGTGGAGGAAGAGAGACCTTCCAGAAAAAATGGTGCCAACATCTCATCTCTGCGTCTTCTTATCACCATAACCTAGAACAGAAATGCAACCTACAGAGCCTGTTTCCTCTTCTGCACAAGGGCCAATATTACCTTCCTGCACATACAGTGATGTGTGCGCATATGAGTGCTTCCAAAGGATCGAGTCTTTGAAGGGGACAAGTTGAACTAAAATGTGTTGTGATATTAAATAGGAATGTCCGTGCAAGTGCCTGCACTCCAGGAAAGCTGTAATCTGCAATTAATAATGATGATAAAATAACCCACTTGCTAGATCAATAAACATACTAAATATCTACCTACAAACAACTTGTAATACATAAAATTAACTCAAAGAACACCATATATATATTTGTCAAAGGACACAACAGAAGTCAGGGGCGGATGGAGAGGCACATCAAATTCCAGTATTAGAGGACTCAAAGGTGTCAATTTTCCACAAATGAAATGAATGACATGTTATTTGATTTCTGAACAGAATTTATTTAAACTTGGCCAAGTCAATGCAGATTAAACAAGATGTTAGTTTCATCCAGGAGATTAGAAAATCAGTAAAATATGTATTTGATAATACACAGCCTTGGCAAGGGTGTGGGGACATAGGCACCTACAGGTACTCAGGAAGCCATTTGTTCTTTGCTGGGCAATCTGCTAGCATATTCGATCCTATGGGAACACTCATACACATGCACACATCAATGTCTGCACAGGAAATGCACCGCTTAAAAAAATAAAAAATGCAGCATTGTTTAAAAAAATTGTAAAGACACCTAAACATCAATCGAGGGGTGAATGTATGAATAAATAAATTAGGGTGCGCCCATCCTATGCAGCCATTTTGAAGACAGTAAGGTAAATGCATCTGTACTCTGTGGAAAGATCTCTGAGACATAACATAGAGTAACTGCAGAATAATATGTAATGCTCTGTATACATGGCAATGGACGTGTATGTGGTTAGAAATGTGTGTTGTACACGAACAGAGAGATGTCAGCAGATACCCGCCAAAATGTGAGCTGTAGTTGCCTCTGAGGAGATCAGGGGAAGGGAAGGGAGTCACGTTTACTTCATGGGCTCATGGATCTGAATATCCCACAAAGAGGCTCTATCAGCGCGCCGCTCGTGCAATGGAAATGTATTTTGAAGAAGGTGTCCGTGGGTGGTGAGCATATGGGCGCCGCAGGCGCAGACCAAACTCATTTGAGCAGCACGGCAGGGGGCAGGTGGGAAATCTAGGAAAATATTTATGTTGGGAGTAAATGTGTCAAAATGGCCTTTTGTGGTGCTTGCTTTTCAATCGGATCACATCTGCGCGTGCATAAAAGCGGAGGGGAGGGCTTCCAATATTTACCCGGGCTTTGTAATCCTTCCCTCCAGCACCTGACCCCTCAGCCTACTGCACCATGGATGATCCCCCGGTCTTCCTGGCTGCCCTGGTAACATGCAACTTCCCACCTAATCCCATTCAATCCAGTTGGCTGGTGTGCGTTGGCCCTGCCTTCCCCAGTGACAGCTGCCTCTGTGGGGACAAAGAGGTCCCCGCTGGCCTGCCTCACCGCTCTTTCTCTCCCCCTTGCAGAGTGCTGCATTAGTACCTGTTTGGATCTTACTGACATACGTATTTTAAATGTCCCCCCAAATTGGCTCAGTAGAATAAGGCATCATTTTGGTGGGACCTGTTATATTTTTCAAGTATCGTCAAGATGTCCAAGATTCATGAAGCCCCAGCCCGGACCGTGGCTGCCTGGAAGAAGTCACTTGGCCAGAGAGGGTGGCGTGACCCCTGCCCCCGGAGGACGAGGAATAAGCCAGCGATCCCAGGCTGGCTCTGATAAGTACGGAGTAATTGGCATATATATGTTTAGCTTCTCTCGAAGCAATCTCACTGAGACATTTTTCTCTTGTAAATAAAATTCTCTCAGTGAAATTCTCCTGCAGTTAAATGAGGCTCAATTACACGCTGCTAATTTAAGCCTGAGCACTGCATTCCGACTGTCTACCTAATTACCCTGCTTAGGCTGTTAATGATCAGATCTTCGCTCTCGAGCAGAAATTTGAGTCTGCCATTAATCTCTCCTCTAGTTAGATTTCTAGTTACTTAAAAGAAGAAATCCTTAGAAAAAAATAGAATCTGATTTTTAAATAGATTATCTGAAGGACTTATTAAAAAGAGCCACAGAAGTTTATAAAACTTGAATTGTATTTATTCATTTCCGGGATGAACAAGATGGTTGGCCCCTGACCTCTAGGAGCAAATATTTTAGTCTGGGAGAAAGACAAAGAAAACAATCACTCCCCATGATAAATGCTCTAAGAGAATTAGGACGTGGAGGCTGAACTTGATAAAGAGGAGTGTTGAGACGGGGCATGAGAGTAAGGGTTTCTGTGGAGGGTGCATTCAAATGTGGTACAAAGGAGGGAAAGGGCAGGGCTGAGAACATAGAAGAAGAGAAGCACGTGCAATGTCCAGAGGTGGGAAACATGGAGACATGTTCAAGGAACTGAAACAAGATACCTCTAAAACTTAGACGTGACTGTCATAGAATCGGCCTGGATGCTGGAGTGAGGCAAAGGTCAGAGGTGATGCCTAGGTTTGGGGGAGGGGTGCTGACTGGGTGGAGAAGCAGGGCTTAGCAGCGGAGGAGAAGCCGTGGGTGTGGCTTTCCTCTGAGGGTGATTTACTTTGGATTCCCAAGTATGAACGACAGGCGATTTTTGTTTTATTCATCTATAACCAATGCCTATGTTTACTCCTTCTGGGGCTCTACTAGAAACTAGTGACCAGAGCAAAATTCTATTTTTCAATGGCACCCTGTCAAAGTCCTATTCAATTTAAAGTTTGAGCAATTCTTATTTTCAGTTATCTATATTCTTCTTATTGGTTTTAATTGCATATCTCTTCTATAATCATCTCATGAATCTTTGAGAATTTTGTGATAAAATTCCTCCTTGGATTGACTTTTGGTCATTTCTGTCATGAAAATATGGTATGTTATTTGGAATCTTAGTTTCCCTTTTTTTTTTTTTTTGGCCAAATACTTTAATATGGCCAATAAGTCAAATGTGAGTTGGAGCGACTCAGATTTCTGAGGTTATAAAAATTAATTATTATTAAATACTTCTTGGCATAAGAAATGTAGAATGCTGGATAAACAGAATAAGCATCTGTGTACACGAACAAGAGAGTTCTCAGGTAAGGGAAGTCCTTGGGGACCTATAAGTGAAGAGGGAATTGGACTCTCTAGGGCAGGCTCTCGTTGATGCGATAGGTGCTGTGGGATATTTGTTCTTCGAAGAAGCAATAGGGACAGAGCAGAGACATCCTCTGCCCGCTGGGAAACTTCTGCAGAAAGCTGCAACCTCGCTAAGTGGACTGAAAAAAACAAACACCTTTTTAGCAAATAGCTGCCGGAGACCAATTCCAGCATGTCATAATTTCAAGAGTTTCATCAAAAGGTTGATGAGACTTGGGGACTCAACAGGGTTGAGTCACACAGGTAGTCACCTGTTGGGAATGGGTGAAGGCATTTCCCCAAACCTAAATAGGATACATTAAAGTGATTGTGGCTGCCAGACAGCTAAAAGGCATCTTAATCTACATGTTATGGCCTCCTACTGGCCAAACACCTGAACAGCCGTAGGCCCATT